TAAAATTCATGAAAACACAGAAGTAACTATAGTAGCATACGCAGATGATATTATGATAGTAGCTGAATCAGAAACAAATCTAAAAATGACAACATCAAGTTTGATGAAAAAAAGTAAGGAGATGGGATTAATAATCAATGAAAGCAAAACAAAATACATGATATTATCACGAAGATTTCACAACCAAACAGAATTAGTAGTAGGAAAAATGAGATTTGAAAGGTAGAAACTTTTAAATACCTTGGAGTGGGTCTGGACACAACCAATGGGGGACACAATGAAATACAAAGAAGAATAACTGCAGCTAATAGATGTCTTGGAATGTTAAAATCACTCTTTAAGTCTAGAATCCTCTCAAAAAGGTCGAAAATAACAATGTATAAAGTACTTGTGCAGGCCTATTGCTTTATACGCATGTGAGACAAAAACGAATGAAAAAAAGCTAGCAATATTTGAAAGGAAAATTCTAAGACAAATTTTTGGCCCCAAAAAGAATAAGGAAACCAATGAATATGAGCGTAGAACTAATGATGACGTATATGAACTATACAACCAACCGGACATAGTAGCAGTAATGAAGAGCAAAAGAATCGGATGGGCAGGACATGTTTGGCGCACTGAAGGAAAAATACTAAATAAAATAACCTCATGGAAACCATACAAAAAGAGACCCCTCGGCCGACCGAGACAACAATGAAGTGACTGTGTATATCAAGACTAAGGTTGTTAGGAGTAGAAGATCCGAAAGAGATGGCAAAGAATAGAGAACGATGGAAGTTGCAGCAAAGGGCCTTGATGGCCTATACAAAGCCTTTAAAAAAAAAAAAAAAAATGTATATATATTATATATCATATAATGATAATATATGAAATCTAATTAAATAATTTTTTTTTCCATCAAAAACTAATAAGATTGTGTAACATATTTATTTTAAATTATATTTAATTTTAGCATAAAAGATCATTTTTATAAAAATAACGTGATAATACCAATATTATAAAAATTTTTCATTTTTTCACTGTTAACAGAGATTATTTCAATATTTGGTTACACTAAAAACATAAAAATTTCATTTTTAAAATCCTTATAAATTTATCTATCAGCCATAAAAAAATTATAATTATAGGTTTAAGTAAAAAAGTTATAGGAAACAGTTCAATTTTCTTTTTTGTAAAATTACCGTCAAATCAACTTTAAAATTCATGTGTAGTAGTGGTTTAAACTTCAGATATATCTCAAATTTCGCAAGTAACTCTTAAATAATATAGACCATTAATGTTTTAGATGGAGATTTTTAAATAATTTTTTATTAAATAATTAATTACGTCATTTTCAATAGAGATTATTTCAAAAACTAAAATTAATCAGAAAATTCTAAAACCAGATTGGAATCATCGACATCATTTGGAATTTTCTATCATATTGTTTGGCACAAAAAATTTATATTTTTATTTGTTGTGCTATATATTACATAGATGTTTAGTAAGTAAGGAAACAGGTTTCTATTGTTCTCGTTAACAATTACCCAATTATCTTACTTTTTGAACACCTATATATTATGATATAATATTATTATCAAAAACCATAATTCCCCTCAACCTATATTTTCAAGTATTAATTGCAATATACTGCTTCAAAAAAAATTTATAGTGCTTGATAAATGTTTTTAACTTTTAAAAATCAAAACTATTTAATTATATTAAACAAAAATATGAAGTTTAAAAAAAAAATAATTTTATTAACTTATTAAATCAATAAGATAATTCCGATTAAAAATAGAATTAAAACCATTTTACAAAGAATAGATGCATACATAAAATACTTAATAAAAGGAATAATCCAGAATTGTATGCAACTGAATGATTCTAAATTTATGTTAATTTTTAAATAAAACTAAGAGTATAATGAATAAATAAAATAAACAAAAATATAAAATAATATTTTATTTTATATAATTCAACGAGTAGGGCCCTTTTTCAAATAGATATGTACAATTTATACAAACATTACAATTTTTAAGTACAAAACAATAAAAAATCCACAATAACTTGTGGACAAAGTAACAAAAATTTTAGATATTTAATATTTTTAGAACTAAGTGTTAAATAACGAATTAATGAAATGAATGTCCTTATTGGCACAAGACATTAAACACCTTAATGGATCATTCACTAAATAATTGATGGAAGCATACGGGACAAAAAAGGGAGTATAAGTTTGGGTAGAACACTGTGGAATCTTGAAATAAATTAGTGAAAGAAGTTCAGAGGACTCAAAATTACCAATAATTAATCTTTCTAAGAACCTGATGCCTGCAACATATCGTCGTTCAGCCAGAAGGAGAAGCTATTGGAGTATAGTCGTGAGGTGGACATAGAACTTTTAGTAGGAAACTGGCAAAACGCAAAAATGTATGCTGAACACGCTCAATCTGCAACAAACTTTTTGCTGCATGAGGATTCCAAACAACACAACCATATTCCAGTATTGGTCGTACAAGAGCACAGTATACATTTTTAATAGCAATGTTTAGCTTAAAGTCTTTTGCCAGTCTAAATAATACACCAAGTACTTTAAACACCTTACAGCATATATAATTAATGTGTGGGTTAGGGTCAAGGTTAAAACGTAACGTTTATCCAAGGTCCATGGCAAAATCAGTTTGACGTCGGATATTATTTATGTCAAGGCTATAAGAAAAAACTAGTGGAAATTTTATCCTATGAAATGTGAAAACCTAACATTTGGAGATATTGAGTGTTAATCCTAATGCACTAAACCATTTAAAAAAAAAATCAAAATCAGCTTGTAACTTTAAGCAATTGTCAATTGTAGATACTCGCATATATGACTTGATGTCATCAGCAAAACAGAGAATGTGGCAGTGGCGTAGGATTTGAGTGACACTATTAATAAATAAGGAGAATAAAAGTGGAGATAGATGACCCCCTTGTAGAACACTAGAAGGGGCTAAAAATAGTATAGACTTTATACCAAATACCTTAACCCATTGATATCGGTCATGAAAATAGGATTTAAACCAAGATAAGAGAGGTTCACCTAAACCAGATTTACCTAAAACACTAATAAGAGCATTATGATTTACTGAATCAAAAGATTTTTTAAAATCGGTATATATTACATCCACTTGAGAACTATTCTGAAATGAGTCGAAAATATAATTACAGAATAAGAGATTATTTATGGTGGTTGAATGACCTGGGCGAAAGCCATGCTGTTCTTCCATAATCACACTATTTATAGAAGGTTAGATGGCTTTTAAGACTAATGACTCAAATATTTTTGATAAATGTGATTGGATAGTAGTTAGAAACTATAGACGGAAAGCCTGATTTATGAACCGGTATAACTGAGCTAAACTTAAATAACGTCGGAAAAATACCCTCATCAAGTGATCGTCTAAATAGTATCAACAGTAGATCGTCAAAGCTGACCTTAGCTCAAATAAGAATGATCCGGCGGAGGCCATCAAGTCCAATGGACCAGTTGCCACGAAGATTTGAAAGGCTTTGGAAAATTTCATCAATAGTAAAAGTAACATTATTTGGTAGGTCATAAGTAAAGATACCCAATTTTTCTATGTCAACCTCATTATGATCTGTAGAATAAACAGAAGAATTATTATTTGATAACAAATTAGCTGTCTCCTGTTCATTAGAAGTACTATTACCATTTAATGACATAACTTTGGGTATGGTATTACTAGAACGTTTGTTGTTTACAAATTTCCAAAATTCTTGAGGATTATCATTAAGTAAAAGTTCAGCACACGTAACGTAGTCGCAATAGCATTTTTTGGAATCAAATTTATATTTTGCACGGAAAAACGAGAATTCTTTATAGTCCGACATATTTAAAGTAGACTTATATATTGCATGTGCTTTTTTCTTGAGTATCAGTGTTCACTTAAGATCTTTATTAAACCATGAAGGATATGACGAATCTTTATAATAGCATTGAGGAACAAAATCAATGACGGATTTGTGCAAAGCATCATAAAATAAATTTACAACCGAATCAGCATCTTGGAGGAGAAATGTAGAACTCCAATCAAATGATGAAATAAATAATTGGATAATATCATAGTTCACCTTACGAAAGTTATAGAAAGAATGGCTACTATCACAAGAAGGCAGAGTAGTACATGCTGGAAGGGTAATGTTTAATGCTGGGTGATATAAATCTTCTGGTACTAGTATTATACCATTATAATAATGGTATAATAATATATAATAATATATAAAGTAAAATTTATTATTTTATACTATGATTTATTTTTTATTTTATTTATTTAACAATTTTTTAGTTCTTGTAAGTTTAATTTAATTTAATTTTTAATCAGTAACTTGATGATACTGCACTAATAAAACAAGTAATTACATTTATATATACATTATACTCATAGTTTTATTTAAATTTTATTATTTTAATAATTTCATTTTTTTTTTTTTTTAAGAAATCAAATGATTTATGATAAGTAAATCAATCTTTACATAACTAAAAATAAAAATTAATAATTTGAATTTGTTCTATCTATTAACATTATAAAGAACCCTAGCTACACTATTATGTTAAAACAAGAATTTTTAATTAAATTTAAATATCGATACATTAGTTTAAAAATATTTTAATTTATATTTTGTTTATTCTAAGAATTTTTTTTTTTATATTAAAATAAAGGCTGCATTAATAAAGGCCATTGGGGGTGATTATATGTATATCAAGTGTATATCACAATAAAATACTAACTTAAACAATTAGATTAGGTTAACATAGAAAGTGAATAAAAATTGGTCATTAGCACATAAGTTATACAGATATTATATTAAGTCAAAAAGTTCGATAGCCTTGAGGAAATTTATCATCTTTCGTACAGATTTAAGGTATTGTTTTAGAGATTGGGGAGGTGGTGAGGTCTAAGCATTTTATATTTGACATTATATTCATAAATTAAAAATACTCACCAATATTTAACAACAGTAGTTGCTTGTAATGGGTTACATTGGTCAGGATATATTCTTTTGCATAATGAATATAATGATGTTAATCCTACAGGCAAAGAAGGTGGCATACAGTTTACGTCTGAAATAGATCTTGAAGAATGCATGGACATTTCATTTAGATTGTCAACATTATTCATTTTTTCATACATACATGAAAAATGAATTCAGTAGTTTACAATACATTTTTCAATTCATTAAGTATATTTCTAGCTGAAATCAAAAATAATTAATAATAGATCACTTTATTTTTATGAAAATGTTATATAAGGTGACTTCACCATTGAATGAACGATTATATTGTTTAACATCACAATTTTAAAGTGAATGAATAATTAATGATATTGCATGAAAAATCATAATATAGTAGGACTAAATTCAATTTTTTTTGTCAAAAACTATTAATCACACAACTCACCACAATCAGATTATACAAATATCAGTTAAAAACTTAAGTGTTCATTCACTTGTGATGTAACCTATTATAATATACAACAAATTTAAAGACATTTTTACAAAGCATAAAACTAATAGTTATTTTGAAATAATATTTGAATAGTTACTGTATTATTTTAAATGACACTAATTTTTATAAGTCATAAATATATTAGTAATTAATATTGGCCATAAATTAAAACCAATTTAAAATTATAAAATTTAATAGAAATTGTTAACATGAATAAATCAAACATTCACTATGTTAGACAAATTAAAAGTATTATTAGGTATTTATCTCTGTAACATGGTTTTTTTTTTTATTAAATAAGAATAATGACAAATTGGGTCAAATATAAATAATAATTTTCTAAAATCATTTAAAGAACAAACCAGATTATAAAGAAAGTTTTATTATAATACTAATTATTTTATAATTTTTGTTGCTATATTGAATTTTGTTATTTTAAAAAAATACAAATAATAACATTGTGTCACGGCATACGACGTTAAAGATATGATATCTAATTACAAAACAAAATTTTGGTAAAAAAAGATATTTCTATTATCAATCACGTAAAGTTAATATCAATCCGATAACAATTAATACATTATGATAACACTTGTTGGTCTAGTTGCAATAACAGGCTCTCGTACGATTCGGGAATATATAAGATAGGAATGATTTTTTTTATGGTAAAATATTTAACAGTATAGAAATATTGATAGAAACGTAAAAATTAGGAAACATAATTTCAAGAAATTAGATTTAGTGGGACATTAATATATTAAAACATCGGAATGTTTACCGAGGAAAAGTATTATAACATATTATAGTATTATATAGTAAGTAAGAATAGGTACTTTGAATGTTGACTGGTAGAAGTAGATAAATAGTAAAAGTATTGAAGAGGAGAAAAGTGAACATTTGTTGTGTGTAGGAAACTAAGTGGAAGGGAGAGAAAGCAAGGGAAATTGGTGAGGGTTATAAAATAATATACTCAGGTTAATAAAAAGAACGGTGTAAGGATAATAATAGATGAGGAGATGAAAAATAAAGTTGTCAAATAAATTAAGAAAAAAGTGTTGAATGTAATAAGTGCCTATACATCACAAGTAAGATGTGATGAAATAGACAAGGAAGTATTTTGAAAAGAGATGAGGTGATGGAAGAACAAATGATGTTTTATTTTTTTTGTTTTATTTTATGTTTCAATTTTTTCTATGAGGGTGGCCGACCCCAAGTAGTTTGGATTAAGGCTAGGAAAAAGAAAGAGAAAGTCTCTAATTTTAATTTGGTACCTAATCTACTAGTTTAAAATACACCTGTTATGAATAAAATATAAGGATGTATATTTATTTTAATATAATTTGTTAATAATAATTTACAAATTTATATATAATATACCATCAAACCCAGCTTAAATGGTTACTCTACATTTAAAATATAAAAAAAAATTTGCTAAAACAAACTCCAAATTAAAATTCTTTATAATAAATTATATTATAATGCATACACATTTACATATTTAGTACCCTTCCTGAAAAAATGTTCCGCATTCATATATAAATTCTATTTTGTTACACTTTTATTATTAATGATTTAATAAAGTAAAAGATGATATTCCAAGGAGTCAAGATTATTATGTACCTACTTAGGACATTCAATCAAAATATCAGTTGTTTAATTTACTTTTAAATCATCATTAATATAAATTGTAACTACTAATCTAAACTATGTTACTATTTTTTTTTTAGCTAAGTTAGAAATTTGGAATATTTTAGAAATTAATATAGTTTTTAATTAAAGTAACTCTACTTGACTTGTTGAAAGAAATAACTACCAAAACAGCTCTGTCTGGGAGGGAGTTAATGACACCTATAACCCTATTGCCTTGATCCTCTACTGAAATACAAATTTTTGAAAAAATTCCTGATAAATGTCTAAATTATTAAAAAAATAAAAGGAAAATAGAACCTGAATGATAAAAATGTTATTTAAAAGATGATTTTTGTAATATTCAATTAACTTTAAAATTTGTTTGATTATGAGTAAGAGTTGAATAACTTAAAAATATGATCTTGTAGTAAATCTACTTAAATTTATTTAAGTATTATTAGCCTCTTAGATATCATCAACAAACTGTTAATTATTAAATTGATCTATAATTAAAAACATAAAAAACTATAGATTCAATATTCAAATAAAAAATTTAAAAAATGATACATATATTCAAATTATTATTGTCTTAAATAATTATTTTTAGTAAAAATAATGATTATTTTTTTACATTTTTAACAAGAAATAAATTCCTAACAGTAATATTAATAAATAATTATTATATAATAAAGCAGATGCATCATTACATAAATCACCATGACAAAAACACATAAAAACTTTTTTGTATGACCAAATGGTATCATCACAACGTTCTTCACCATCAGAAGGTCCTCGTTGTAAACAAATTCTCTGGATAGCTGTATCAAATTCCTGTTCTTTAGCATCTACATCTCGTGTTTCAATTATTTTTCCACACCATCCAGAAGCACAAGGTGTGGTTTCCACACCAATACCTGGCTCTAAACTCAGTTCTGTGAGATTCGTGTATCTAAAGAGATCTTTACAGCTTCCCAATTCACCTCGTGAACGGCAAATAAAACATCGTTTCACGATACTTTCTGTGAAATTTACCCAGACTAATAACAATAAAATTACATTTAATTTAAAATTATAAAATGACATTGTAATTTTTTGGGGGAAACTATTTATTTTTGCCACCAAGTCACTTTCACTTTACAGTCGAAATATATGTATAAAAAATGTAACTAACGCCCAATGTTAAAGTAAAAAGTACTGATGTAAATATTTTTAATTAAAGGATACTATATGTTTAACTCATTATTAGATAAATTCTTAAAAAGGTGACTCAAGTAGTTAGACGGTAGATTGTTATATTCAACAGATTGTTTGACAATTTTATCAGACTTTAATGTGACCTTATATTGTTAACCCAAATAGGCTATTGATAAGACATAGGTTAAATTGCATAAATAGGAAATATTTAAATTTTAACTTAATAACTGTTTATAATATAATTATAAGAATAGATAACTTTAAATAAATTAAGTAACATATTTATTAGAATGCGGTATAAAAAGGCTATTATTGATAACATAAATCATGATAATAGGGAATTTAATCGTCATGGATCCATCGGATTTTCCTTTCAAAGATTTATTCGTATTTTTAATTACATAACTCTTCATTTTATCATTGATATTATTATCAAGTCTCCTCCAATGATTAAAAATATGTTGTCATCAGAATAGTTAATTTTACCAATTTATAAATAATAATTAAAATTAAAATATTAGTGACTCTATGATTATTAATTTGCATAACTAAATTCAATATAACATAAATACAAAAAAAAATGTATTATTAAAATAAATCAACTTATTTTTAAAATTTGATATTTAAAGTATTAATTGACATTTATTTCCACAACACGAAAAATAAATTTTTAATGAACAAATAAACTTAAAAGTTTCACTAAAACGAAAAGTCATTAAATTAAATAATATTTTAAGTTAAAATTAATTAAAAAAACGACTAAGCCGCAAAGAGTAAAAATCTTGAGTAGAGTGTTGCAGATTTTGTGTATTTTGAAGTTACCAGAAGAACTGGTTTTGACAGGGAAAAATGGTTTTTTATAAAGCCAAGTAAAAGGGAGCAGCATAGTGTTTCTTAGCATGATCTTGAAAGCTGAGGCTTTTTATTTTAATTAGTTAATTTCAATGGCGCACTGCCTTTGGGCGTTCCTTATAAATCTGTAAATAAGTAGATTTTATCTTACACTTGCAAATTATTTTGTATTTTAAATAGAGGAACTCTGTTTCGATGATGTTATGTATTTATGATATATTACCGAATCGGTAACACCTTTGTCTATCACGCTTAGGGTACGAGGTTCAAATCCGTCTGTGGCTATTAATAATTTGCATTTTTTTTTGAGTTAGAATAAAATTTTCGAATCATTTGATATTTATCTCATTAAGATTCAATAACTTCACTAAATATAAAGGATCCTATCACTATAGTCTCCCCTTGTGAGAAGAAATTTATATCCATATTAATATTTTACTATGTGGTTCTTTTTGTGGATACGATTTATTTTGCCAACCCTCCTAGACCTACTTTTTTCAACGATACGCCAAATGATTACAATTCGTATTTAGTTTAAGTTATTACCCTTAAAAATTGAAAAAATATTCCTTATTCAAATAAAAAGTAGCTTAATCAGCTTTTTCCATACAAACAATTAAAATCATTAATATCTAATATTCTTAAAGTATTTATTGTCGAATTAGATTTGATATGATAAAAGTATTTAACTACAAGAGTAAATAATTTTACTTTGTAATTTATTAATTTTTTAACTCTATTTGTGTTTGATACTACCAGTCTATAATATTCCAATTTTTTTGTAACATGTTGCTATATAAATCATAAATTTAAAAGAAAAATGATATTTAGTTTCACCTGAATTTAACGTTGGATTTTTACAATTATAATCAAATTTTATAATACGCTCAATTGAGTAAATCTTTTTAACAACTTTTTTTTATTGGCTTTTTTAGATATATAATCATTAAAATTAATTAAATTCTGAATATTTCCACTGTAGAATCTTTTTAAACACCAAAAATTAATTAGAAATGATTAATATGATTTTTATTTAAGTGATCTATTACGATAAAAATGTAAAAAAAAAATCAAACTTTTCTGTTTAATGTACTGTAAATAGTAATTATAAAATTTCCTGATTGTATATTAATCTTAACAATTTAATTTTTTTCTATTTAATAATGTCAATTTCAAACTTAAAAGTTATGGTAATAAATTCATTTTTTTTTTATTGAAACTTTCACTTTAAAGGACAAAAAAAAGTAGGTTCAAAATGATTACTTTTAACATATTAAAAATCAAAATCAATAATAATTTGAAAACAATTAATTTAAAAAATTATATAATATATAATTTAAAAAATTACTAATCTGGGTATAATTAAGGAAATAGAAGTTGATGTTACTTTTGTAATTATCCATCAATTTTTTAGAATTAAACACTATGTAAAGATTTGCATCGAAGAGTTTCTTATGATAGTGATTTTAATCACTGTCAGATTAAATCTATACTGGACCCAACTATGCCGCGACCCCACTGTGCTGGGTTTTTTTTTTTTTTTATTATTATTATTTTTTTTTAAATAATATTGATCAAAGAATAATAGTAAGACTGTTACAATTTTAATAATCTTCGAATCTAAAAGTATATAAGTTATTTATAAAAATACATTCAGTGATAAACATAATTTTATGATTTTTTAACAACTTCTACATATTGTGATGGTGTCACGTTTTCATAATCGTGAGAATTATTTTAATAAAATACAGACAGCACATCCGCTGCCTGAGACTGATGAATTAACAAATAATATTTATTGCCAAATCGGCAATAGTTCTAATTATTATAAAAACCCAATAGACCTGACCATCGTCGTCAGTCGACTCCAATGCTTTGTGTCATTCATCAGTCTCAGTACTCGGTTGTCGCTGTCCGGCTTACTGTTTAAAGCAAAGTCTTTGTTTATTCCTTTTCAAACCTATATACTATTTTCCTCGACATTTCAGAGTACTTGTGTCTTGCACTTCGTCTGCACCTCGTACTCTGTTATTTTTCCTCACCTGGTACGCCTAGTATTTGTGTCTTGCACTTCGTCTGCACCTCATACTTTGGGCTCCTTTTGCGTACACCTGGTATTTGTGTCTTGCACTTCGTCTGCACCTCATACCTAGGTGTTACTCTTATTCTCCCTTCCTATAACAACAGCCTTTCGACACCCACAGCTAACCCGGAGTGTCAGCCGAGCACGGTGACTGCTGTACGACAACACGCACGTGAATACCTAGACAGCAGGCACCACCTCCTCATATTCATCTTCGTACACATAGCTACACACATACGCACTTTTACCTTTTTTTCATTTTTACTGTGTTACGACAATATATACATATATAGCATATGTGGCTTATATTCAAAAGCTATAGGTTAAAAATGTTTATATTTATTGCTTCGATGCAGAGCAAAGAAAGTATTAATTTTACTAAGATTTGTTTTTTTTTTTGTGTCATCACTTTTTCTCAGCTCTCACCGAACCGATTTCTTTCAACGATATGTCAAAAGATCACGAATCGTATTTAGTCGAAGACATTACCCTCAAAAATTGAAAAAATTTCCCTCGTTCTCTGTAAATGGGGGAAACCTCCAAAAAAATTACAAATTTATAAATCGATCATTTTCAATATTTTTTCAATTTTTTTTACTTAAAAGTGCCATAACTTTTTTAAAAATGATCGAATCAATATAATTTTTTTTATAGATACCTTAGTTATTTACCTTGATTTGGGGGCCTATAGCCTACAATTCTAATCAATGATGTACTTAGATGAGGCCACAGTACACCTGCCCTTCGTTCGCATTGCTATGCAATATTTAAATGATTATTGGCTTTTATTTTTACTTTTTTATATTCATAATCTGAGTAAACAGTGGTCATCAATATTTTCATGGTAGCTAATTAATTGAAAATTTTTATTAGGGACTTCTTTTCACTAGAATTTCTATGTACCTGATTCCAATATTGAAAAATATCCATAGGGCTACCACCGCTTACCAAGTAACAGAATCGACCAAGCTATCACTAATTATTTTAACTATTAAACAATGTTATTAACTATTCAACTAAAATTTATTTAAATGGTATATGATAGTAGTATACACAGATTATAAGAAAATTGTATTTTCTGTGTCAAGTATTATTTCACAAATAAACTCGCTTATCATTTTCTTTACCCTCATAATATGCGATTAGGGATAGCTGTGTAAGCAATTATCGAGCATGCGCCTTATTTACTTTCAGTCTACACTCTGTGTTCACTATAGTAATTGCGAAAATTTTGTGAATAATTATATCCATTAAATAACAAAGAATAAATTATAACTTTATAATGACGCTTAATAGCAAATACCTATCGTTAATTAAAATTAGAACGTAGAAATATAGAGAATGATAAATGTCTATTTGAATTTATTTACTAAACTGGAAACATTAGTTTTTATTTAAAATATATAATATCATCATTTTATATTATTTAAATGTAACACAAATTAACAATGATTTGAGTGAACGGTTTAACGGTTTTCGTTATTTATAATGAAAACCCTTATTCGTCTAGTTTTATTGTTCTTTTCTAGTACTTTTATTTTATTTTTTGTTTTCTTTGTATTCAGCAACAAAGAAAATATCAACAAAATTGAGGTAATAATGTGAATTATTTCTATACAGTACTTGATTATGATTTATTTTTTAAGGGTGATAAATTTAACAATCAAAAGTTATTGATAAACAATTATCAAAAAAATGATCATCAACATTTCATTATTTTGTCTCCTTTTGTGGAAAGTTCACTACCAAATAATACAGGAATTACTTCAAAAGATGCAATTTGGCAAAAAGTTCAGTTCACTAAGTATGTATACTATAATATATTGAGAAAATAATTACTTAAGTCGGTCAACAGTAGATACTATAGTTTCCGATTTATTAAATTTCCTACAAAAAGCTTATTTTATTTCTGAAAAAAATAATTATTATTGTTGAAACACAAATTAATTTGATGACTTATTGTTGTAATTTAGATATCTTATCTCAAACATGTTATGCTATAATTAAGTATTGAAAAAATTATAAAACTATTATTCTTAAAAATAAAATTATTATTTTTAATGACATTATTCAAGGTATTATTTAAATTTTAATATTATAGGCAAACACTATTTTTAAATAATAAAAAGAAATGCTTATTATAATTCTTTAATGACTGTGTTTATTTTCATATGAAAAAATAAAAAATTTTATAACCAAGACTATAAAAGTATTAGCAACAAATTTAGCTATTGATGAAAAAATTTAATTATATTTTAAAGTATTGAATAGATATAAATTTTTATGATGTTGCTAGATTAGTATAAATGTTATTTCATATTCTATATTTTTTAGGTTCAAGTTCTTTATATATTCTGCTTATTTGGATTTTAGGATTAAATCCATTGGGCCGTTAATTAGAATCATTGGTGCAACTAAAACCAGACGACCTGATACTGTTTGGTGTAGATTATGGTATTCAAACAGTTCCAAAACAGTTTTAGCATTTGTTAAGGCTATTCGTGAAAATTGGAATCTAAAGTACAGTGCAGTATTTGTATTGTGTAAGTTACCTCCAGAAAATACTTATCCATTAAGTGTATCAATAGTATCTCATTTCAAAGATACTATCACTAACAGAGTTCTTATTAATATGCCAATGTCAAATAGAAATTTCAAGACGGACATAGAAATTTGTATTAAGCCTTTACATTATTTTTATGATCGGGTAATATAAATAATTTATTTTATATAATGAATGTTATTTAATTAGTAGTATTAATCGTTTAAATTTTAAAGGCATTACAACTTATGGAGTTTGTAGAACTTAATACTATACTAGGAGTTGAACATTTCACATTTTATAAAAATACAATTGGTCCAAATGTTGAATGTATTCTTAATCATTATAAAAAAGATAATCTTATTTCTATGTTACCCTGGGAAATTGATTTGGTATCCAAAAAAGAAATAAGAACGGAAGGAATGTTTGCAGCTCTTAATGATTGTTTGTACAGAAACATGTACACATCAAAATATGTTGCATTTTTAGATATAGATGAATTAATAATGCCAAAACAAAATAATACCCTTACACAATTAATAAAGTAAATCATTTTTTTATATTTTGTTAATTAAAATTTAAAGGGTTACATTTTTAGATGGATGAACACTTATCAATCTCCTGCTGCTTATTCCTTTCGGAATGCTTTCTTTTACATGCAATGGGCTGATGATGAAAGCTTACAATTAGAGAAAAATCCATTTCATTCTAACCTAATAGTTTTACGTAAAACTCGCCGAAAAACCAAATTACATCCACATAAACAGAGATCTAAATACATTTGTGATCCTAGAAGAGTTGTTGAAGTTGGGAACCATTTTATATGGGAGTTTTTAGATCCAGGACATGATGCAACTCTGTATATTCCCGCAGAACGTGCTATACTTCATCACTATAGAGTATGTGAATATGGTGGTGATGACTGTATTACAGCAGATTCTGTAATAGATCGTACTGTTTATAAGTATAAAAGTAAATTAGTTGATAAAGTAACCAATACTTTATCAAATTTGGATAACCAATGTCTTATTAAAGCTCAAGCCAATACTAATGAGACATTATATTTTTTTAATTAATTATGTAACTAAAATGTGCTTCCAGTAAGTTACTAAGTTATTAAAAATTAAAAAGTTCTTACAGGGTTTTGCAACCATGATATTTAATTTATTATCTACAGATAAATTAATAAATTTAATTTATTCATAAATCTATTGGTAAATTAATAATTGTTAGCATATTTTATTGTAATATATATTACAACTTTATATTAATGAATAAAAATAGGTGAGGGTTATTAAATAATATACTTAGGGAAGTATAGTGGAAAGAATGGTGTAGGAATAATAATAGATGAGGAAATAAAAAGTTAAGTAGTAGAAGTAGCTACGAAAAGTGACAGGATTATAGTTGTGAAATTGATATTCGAAGAAAAAGTGCTGAATGTAATAAGTGCCTATGCACCACAATAGGATGTGATCAAATAGACAAGGAAGTGTTTTGGAGAGAGATGGGTGAGGTGATGCAAGGGGTAACTGGCAATGAGGTTGTGGTGATAGGTGGAGATATGAATGGAAATGTAGGTAATAAGAGGAGAGAATATGAAAGGTAAAGGTGACATACAGGAGTGTGAAAATTATAGAGGCATAAAGCTTATGAATCATAGTATGAAAATTTAGGAAAAGGTAATAGATAAGAGAATAAGAAATGAGACATTGGTATCTAAAATGTAGTTTGGATTTATGCCCGGTAAGTCAACAAAGGAGCCATTATTTTGTGTGAGGCAACTAATAGTAAAGTTTAGGGAAAAAAAGAAAAAGCTTTGTATGGTATTTATAGATTTGGAGAAAGCGTATGATAGAGTACCGAGAGAGGTTCTAAAGTGGGCATTAATGAGAAAAGGAGTCCTGAAATGGTATATTAATATAATAGAGGATATGTATGATGACACTTGTACCTGTGTAAAAGTGTAGGAGTACAGAAGGTTTTAGTTTAAGAGTATGAGTGAATCAGAGTTCTGCTTTAAGCCCTTACTTATTTTCCATAGTGATGGATGAAATTACTAGAGAAATACAAGGAGAGGTGCCGTGGTGCATGTTGTTTGCTGACGATATAGTGTTAATAGGAGAAAATAGGGAGGAAATTAATCAAATGCTAGAGGTATGGAGATCAGCTCTTGAAGAAAAGGGTTTAAGAATAATTAGAAGTAATACAGAGTATATAGAGTAGTACTTCTTAACCTTTTTAGAACCACGGAACACTTATAATTGTATAAGAATTTTGCGGAGCGCTAGGTCGTAAAATAAAACAATACTTACATTTTTTTAAATTAAATTACATATATGATACTCGTAATTAGTCAATGAAATTTATATATAATAAATTTAATAAATTTAATAAAATTGGTATATGATATAAAATAAATACAATTTTTAAAAAAAAATTTTAGATTATTTAATGTGATATTTGGGCCTGATAACTGTTGCATATATTTTCAATATTTGGTCTTATATATGAAAGTACTACTCTCATTTCCTCTTCTCTATTAGTTAGCCTTTCACGTTATTTTGTCATAATATTTGTTAATGTTGAAAATCCATGCTCGCATAAGTATGATGTTGAAAATTGTAATAAAATTCTAATTGCGCTTTCGGAAATATTTTTAAACTCTGTTTGAATAGAAATCCAAAATTCTTCAACTGTTATTTCGGAAAATTTTTTTCGGAAAGATTAAATTTATATAAATATGATGAAATAGAGTCAAAAATATTCTGTCCTGTTGTACGTTCTGTAAGTTGTCTGCAGCATAAAAATTAATTCACTATTTTGTTTTTATTAATGAATCGAACAAATTACGATGTACGTGAAGTACGTGAGCTATACCACTGATATCAGTTGACTCATCAATTTGTAAAGTAAAATATGATTTAGAAAGTTAATTAAAAACTGATTTTTATTGTGTCGTCTGAATGCGGAATTTTCATAATTTCATTTTTTGCGTCATCTCCAAACATAATTTGAACTATTTCTGAACATGCTGAAAAAATTAGGCTCTCTGCTATAGTGTGTGGTTTTAAATTTTTAACAATTATTTCAGCAACTTTATACGATGCGATTTGTGCTTTATTTGGTATTGTTATTTTTTTTTCAAATTTTTTTTTTGAACAATTTGATTTTTTAACAATCTTTCAAATTAATTCTTATTCTTGGACTGGAGATTAGCATGTGTTAGATGTAAAATGGCGTTTTAATTTTGCTGGTATCATTGTGCAGAGTTTTTCTCCACAAATCACACAAAGAGGTATTTGACACTCATTTTCAACAATGTAAGTAAACCCGATATCTAAATAATCATTGCAATATTGTCTATTAACTTTTCTTATTTTGTTCTCCCTCTTATAAGTATTTATATCATTATTAATATTGCTTGAACTTACGTTGGTATTATTTGCGCTTGAGTCATATTTTTGTTTTATAAATGTATGCATGTTGCAGTTTTAAATAATTATTTTTATAATATTATATTATTATAAAATATTATATTTTGTCAAATTAATTATGTACTCTAAAGATAAAATAAAATAAAATATGTCTAAATAGTTTCACTCGGTACTTAAAAAAAATCCAAATTATTCATAAAGAAATTCGTTTACTGCGGTCGTTAAAATAAATAAAAATAATACCCGGAATTATTATATTACATCAAACATATTGAATCGCATACGATCGGAATCATACTAATTGTGTACTAAATATTTCTTTTACATTTCTACTATCTGCAATCGATCAGTCTATTTATAATCTATTTCTGTTATCGTCGTATGGATGCAACATTACACGAACACGCGACGGTAAAATTTTTGTATATTATTTAACAATAATTTACGGTTTTACCCAAAAGTACTAATATAATTCATTGTGTTGTAATAAGTCGCATTGTACAAGTTTGTATTATTAAAAAATTTTTTTCCAAAATTTCCTAGAATGAAGCAATATTAAAAGAAATTTATTTTAACTCGTACTACTCTATGTAATTTTCTCCCTTCAATGTAACAAAAGGATTGTGTTTTTAAGTCTTCCATTGTTTACTGAAGTGCGTTAACTAAAATCATTTTTACCCTGTTGATTACAACTATCTGAATGTTGTAAATTTTCTTAAATTTATCCTCTTTCAACACTAATTTGAGCTTGGCAATGAAAAACATTTGGGTAGGCTAAAATCTGGTGGATGGTGGATAGTAGAAAAATTTCACCAATATACTAGCTTTAAAAGAAAATTTGAACAAAGTGTTATTTAATTAAATTGTTTATGCTAGATTTATAACCAATAAACATTAAAATTCCATTGAGTAAAACCACTGCCAAACTGCAAAAAATTTAAGTAGAACCTTTAAACTAACCTTGTAGGTACAAGAACAATTCTAATGATAGTATCTAGAGTTTCACGGTAATACCGTTAGTTTTACTATTTTTTTCATTGTAAGAAATTTTTAGGACAAACTGTAAAAGATATATAAAAATGTAAGTCAATTTGATTATACTCATTTTATATTTTTGTTTTATTTTAAAATAATTTTATACTTTAAATTGACAGTTCATTACTTTTGAGTTGTACACTTTATTTTAAATAAATTTCATATTATTTAAAATTCTGAAAACTCATACACCAACATTGTGTTTATTAAATATCACAAATTACAGAATAAAAATAAATTGATAGTACAAATTTAACTTAAAAAATATTGAAATTCTACAAGGTACACATGCATAGTAAATTTAGACAATAAAAATTATAGACAAAATGAAGAAGAAGTATGATAAGACTAAAAATTAATAGTTTTCAATTCTACTCTTTAATGCTAAAGAATCAACAATATCACAACCAATGGATTCATTACATTTAGCACATTGATTTAAGTAGTCGGCTGTTTGCACTAAAAGAGTCTCATTAAATAAAGTATTTTGATTACTTGCAAATAATACTTTATTAATTTCATCTGTTATTTTTAATGATGTTAAATTTTTGAAATTTGTTTTTAGTATACTAATGATTTCTGATTTAACATCAGTGGCACGACAGATAAAATTAATTAAAAAAATTCCTTGATCACCTATCAAAGTTTTTACATAATTCAATGCTTCTTGAGTCATAAATATTTTTGGAGGACCACTTAGACCTAATGTAGGATCTTTAACATCAATATCATATATAACAGCATCAAAATTATCACATTTATTTGCAGTTTTTTTGAGATATTCAAGACCATCACATATTTTTACATTTAATTTTGAGTTTTCTGTTAATCCAAAAGATTCTTTAGCTATTTTATATACTGCATCATCTATTTCCAAAGCAATGACTTTTATATCATTATAAATATTTACTAATAAGTTGGCCAATACTCCTCCACCTAAACCAATTAAAAGAATTCTAGGTGTTTTGCTAGATTTCTTTGCGATAATGCCAATACCAAGGCCCAAGTATGGTATATAATCACTGATAAAATATGAACAGTCAATTTTGTTTTCATCACCAACTGATCTTATCAATTTGACTTCAGATTGTATAACTTGAGGCATGTCAAGAAATACCAGACGTCTATAAATTTCATTTGTTTGCCCAGCTACTTCTTCTACAACATAATCACCAGAAAATTTACTCTTACCTTTCACAATAGTTTTCCTATTACCTAGCTGTTGTTCCAAAGAAAGAAAAAGTATTGTTTCACCTCTCCTTACTACACCTTGAGGTGCAATTTTCAGCATAAGTCTAGATAATTCTTTTTGTACTTCTTCCAAATTTTTGTATGTTTGACCTCTATGCATACTGACAATAGCTAAACGATCTACATTACAGTTTCTCCTCAAAATATCTTGACCTTCTTTGCTATTAAATAACCATTCATGTTCTCTTCCATGTGGCACAATAAAAGCAGCAAAAGTCATTTTATTTGGACTTAGTTGAGTAGAACCTTCTGCAACTACTATGGTGTAACGAGGTGTTTTTGTCTGAGAACAATTTATTTCAAAACAGTAATTATTACATTTATCATTAACACGACATTTAGTTAGATTAAAACACATAAAAACTGATTTTTGAGTGTCTAAAACTATTTCTAGTAAATCATCAATAGAACTCAATCTTTCATTAGTTTGACCATCAGGATTCCACTCTAAAATTGATTTACCACCAGGTAATTTGTTAATTTTAGTACAAACCACCATAAATACAGATTGGCCATTAAAATCAATAGAATCTTCAATTTCTGTGCAATGACATACACGAATTATCCATCCTTGTTCATTGAAATATGTAAAAAGAAATTTGGCTATATGGCATTGCAGCAATGAAATACATATATAACGACCACCAAATTTCAATGTCCGTTTCATTTCATTGAACATTTCCATTACCCGAGACAATGACTCTACTTCATCATCTGGCATTAAAGCATCTAATGTACCTTTATCAATAATAACATTATATTTCTCATCAGGATATTTTGTATCCAAAATATTTTTAACCTCATATGTTAAACCTGGATATTTACTTTTATGTTTTTTTTTCATATTAGTGATCACTACTTCACTATTATCAATGCTAGTCAAACAGGTAAACCCATCCAAATATAAATTAAGAGAAAGATTAGAATTTCCACATCCAGCCACTAAAATTATATCTTTAGTGCCTATATATTTTGTTAGTAATCGTTTTAAATTACTATAGCTACCATACCATTCAAATGTTGCTTCTCGTTTAGTGAAAAATGAATTCCAATATTCAGGTTTAGAAAAGTCACTATTTTTTTCAGGTATTAGACTCATGTTTACATAGATAAAATAAAGTTTTAACATCAATAGATAATTGAATAATTAAAAACCAACATCTAATAAAGATCCTAACACAGTTATAATTTTTTGAACATATTACATTATTGTAAATTGATAAGATTGTTGCTCTCATGTGGGCGCGCGCATATGAATTCATAGATTATGAAGAGCTATAGAAATCGGAAAAGAACTTATCAGAAATGAAATTTTACGGAATAGTTTATCATGGAACAATATCTACTAGAAATTATATTTTAAATATCGTTATTTGAAAGAAATTATAAATTATTTTCTGATATTTAAGCTTCGATGCGAAGCTGAGAAGGTATTGGTTTTACTATGATGTGTTTTTTTTTGTGTCTGTTATCACTTTTTCTCAGCTCTCACCAAACCGATTTCTTTCAACGATACGTCAAAAGATCACAAATCATATCTAGTCGAAGACATTACACTCAAAAATTGAAAAAATTTCCCTCGGTCCCGTAAATGGGGGAAACTTTCAAAAAAATTACAAATTTTTTCAATTATTTTATACTTAAAACTGCCATAACTTTCTTAAAAATGAACAAATCAATATAATTTTTTATTATAGATGCTTGATGTCTTTACCTATCATATGGTGTATTTTTTTTTATAAATCTAACTCTTTACCTGCCCACAGGGTTGGATTTAAAATGACAACTTTTTCACAAAAATTAATTTTTTCAACTTAACTTTTGAAATTGTTCAGGAAATACTGACACTTTTATATATATCGTAAATTAAAGCTAATGTAATGTATTTTATTATGGAAAAAAAGAATTTTGGACTTTATTTTGTCTTCACGGTGAAAATGACTATTACCAAACGCTATTTTTGTGTGAAAATTCTAGATTTTATTTTTTAGATTTTCAGCTCTCACCGAACCGATTTCTTTCAATGATACGTCAAAAGATCACAAATCGTATCTAGTCGAAGACATTACTTTCAACAATTGAAAAAATTTCCCTCGTTCAATTTCATCGTCAACCTATAAAATTTTATTCATTACATCATTATATTTGATAACGTAAAAAATTTATACCTGAACGTCATCAAGTTTAAGTCTCTTTACAGCTTTGTGGACATATTCATTAAATGTTGAACATTTATGTGCTAACCGACCTACATGTTGTCTTTTTATTTCATTTAGACCAATTTCTTGTTCTAGATACAATTGTAAAAGTGCCCGATAAAATAAAGGCTTAGTTGGATATTCAAGCTAAAAATTTAAATATCATTACTTGTTAGAAACTAATATAAATACTTTTGCAATTTTGAAAGCATATTGTTTTTAAAACTAATAAAGTAAAGTTTTACTGGAAAATAGTCACTTTTGAAAAATTTAAACAGGTTTCATCAAAAATACTTTACATAATACTACCATAATTTTACTGAGAAGAAATATTCATTTTTTAAATTATTTTTTCAAATTAATAATTTCTGAGCTTGCAATTTAAATCTGAAAAACTATTGATTTCATCAAATTTTATAATCACACATTTTTTCAATTTTTTTTTACTTAAAACTGCCATAACGTCCTTAAAAATGAATAAATCAATATAATTTTTTATTATAGATGCTTGATGTCTTTACCTATCAAATGGTGTATTTTTTTTATAAATTTAACCCTTTACCAGCCCACAGGGGGGGATTCAAAATGACAACTTTTTCACAAAAAATTAACTTTTTCAACTTAATTTTTGATAGTGTTCCGGAAATACTGACACTTTTACATATATCTTAAATTAAAGCTAATGTAATATACTTTATTATGGAAAATTTTCATGGTAAAAACAGACATCAATGTTAATAAAAAAAAATACGATTTTTGTAAAAAATTTCTTTTCATATTTTTAACTTTATAATGCTATAACTTTTTGAAAAATGTATGGATCATTATAATTTTTTTAAGAAAAATAATATTTATATTTATATATTATCAATATATATATATTTATTTATTCATATATTACACTTTTAAATCATAAAACTTGTAATCAGAATATAAATAATGAAATAAAATATTATTTGGAATAATCCATTAATTTTTTTTAATTAAACAGTCTACAGTTTTGATGGAAGCGTTTTTTTTTTATAGTGATTTTAATCACTGTCAGATATCATCATGCTAGACCCAACTATGCCATGACCCCACTGTGCCGCCACCTCATTGTGCTGGGTTTGTTTAGATCAGAGAATACGGTGGTCACATTATTATTCGTTACAAGTTTAAGTGTAATTTTGTATTTGCATGCCACAGAGGTGCAGAGGTGAGTGAAACCAGTCTCACGTTCCTTAAGTAATTAAGTTAACCAGCATTAATTTTCCAAGTTTAAAAATATTACTTTTTACTAAATGACTAATAATTATCTCGTTCTATTTAAAATTGGTAAATTACATACATTAGATTTAAATTAAAACTATATTAAAAATATTAATTTAAGATTAAAAAATATTAAAGATATTTAACTTAAAAGTCCACAAAAAAAAAAACTAAAAAATTGTAGATACGTATTTCGGGAACAATGTTACTGTTATCAACACTAAACACATACTGAAACTCTTAATTCTTAGTCATTACTATTTTAACTACTTATTTATTATTTTTGTAAATAAAAAGAACAACTTACTAGTATTTATACTGAGATATTTATTAATTTCCTTAATTTTTTTAAGTATCAATTACACGAGTTTTATATTTGTTAAAACGTAGCCATAAGACAAAATGACTACATACAGGAATGAAATTTACGGAATAGTTTATCATGGAACAATATCAAATAAGAATATTTTTAAGAACAATATTACTCAAAAAAAAAAAAGCGAGAACGACTAAACAGCAGCTTACATATAATTAAACCACTGTTTATTTTTCTAGATATACATTTTAAACCTTCTAACTTTTTATAGTGGTCTACTCCTGCCAATATAGTCTTCGGAGTTCTTTTATAGAGCTCTGTTAAGCCATTTAACACAAGAATAATCCAGGCATTTTAATCAATTTACTAAGGCTTCTTGGTTTGCCACCAATAAACAATTACATAGTGACTTAAAAATAAAATCTGTTAAAGAAGTGGCTTCCTTGTACTATTCCAGATACCATAGTAAGCTTCTCAATCATCTTAATAATCTCGTCATCCAGTTTGGTTTTCGAACTCAACCAAATAATCGTACTCGACACCTGAAGCGATCTTGGTGCAAAGACTTTCTAATATAGATTGAAATGCACTTAAAACACTTTTTATTATTTATATACTGGAAACTCTAATGTCTCTAAGCCGAAATATTTCGGCAAATATTTACCGAAAAAATATCCCCGAGAACAGTATTATTAAAGAAAATATTTGTTGATAAATTATTTTGCAGAAACTGTATACAGACTAATAGTTACTCATAGTTATTTTACCGATATTAATCGGTAAAATATACTTCCAAACCATATTAATCAGAGAAAAAAAAATCAGGACCGTACTGACCTGGAAATATATTATCAAATAAAAAAAAGACAACAATTTTTTTTCTATAAATTAAAATTAGCCCATTTTGTATAATAATAATAGACTGAATAAACTTAACAATTTAATGGAAAAAAAAGAGTTTATTTAAATTGAAAGATCGCTATTTCTACAATCAAAACTAATATAATACAATACAATGTTGAACAGCCTCAGGCCAAAGCAGAGCTCTGATTTTTACTTTTATTTCATCAAAAGTGTTAGGTAAATGAACAAGAGTATCATACCATATTCAAGTAATTTGAGTCTTCTCAAATGTCTATCTTTTACAGTTAGAACCCACAATATTAATAAAATATGATTCGATTTGATTCAAAAATAATTTAGGGTAACATATCACTTATTCGATTCAAAAACTCTGGTACTGTCTCGTAAAACTTTTCAATCAAAACGGATAACAAAAAAGAACTATCATTAAACGCAGAAAAAAAATAATTATTTACAATAGATTGTAACGTAATAAAATTATGGCGTAAAAATTCATATTGTGATCATTTTTCACATTACTATTTCAGAAGACACACTATTTTAGTGTTTTATATAATTTTTTTTTTTTATCTGTCTTCCTTCTAAAATAGGTTTGATGGTACAAACATTTTCTTTAAAAAGATAATCTTTAAATGGAAATCTACGAGTTTGAAAGATGATTATATCAGGAATGATTATTTCTGGATGATAAATATTTATATAATTGTAGGTTGCCTCCAATTGATTTTCATTCAAATTATTACTTAAATATATAGGAACAAGTGAGCTAAATAATGGTAGTTAATCAAAGTTATTTCAAAACGGATCATAAATAGATCTAACAAACTTTAATTGCTAAATTATTCAACACTGAGATGTTTTACCATAATGTCTATATTTGTGTACATAAATAAATATTTTACACTGTTTTAATGTAGCCAGTAAATTAATCCATAAATAGCTTCATATTAAATAAATATTTTATAACTTCGTGTTTAATAATAATCCTATATATGTTTAAAACTAATTTATTAATCTTTACTTATATTTATAATTTTTACTAGTTGAGAAAAATTTAAATAACTCTTTGAAAATCCCATATTTAAAATTAATGCATGTAATGATTTCATAAAATTTAAATGGATATTCTGAAATTATATTAATTAAACATTTATTAGATGGCTAAATATTGTGTAGATAAATATTAAAATGTTTTTCAATCAACGCCTAAAAAATTTTATGCTCTAATCCCTGAGTACCCCTTAAATACGTTTTTCATTTGATATAAAATTTATTAATATCGATTATATTACATAAAGGCATGGTAAATGTTGTAGTTTGATTAATCTTTTTAATTAATATTTAAAATAAATGATTAAATATGTTAGTTTAAATTTTTGCCATTACAGCGCTAATAGTGATGACATTTGTTGTATCAACTTACAGTTAACAAAATGTAAGCACGATAAGGCTATTAAACAACGTTGCACTACCTGTTTATTAAAATTTATCAGGGATATGCATTTTTTGTGATCCAGAGTCGTTATTAATTATTCTAACAATCCATTAAGTCTATTAGATTATATAATTCATCAATTTTAATAATTTATGATAAAGTAACGTGAATGATTTAATACTTTGGTGTTTTCGTTAATGATTACAAACTATGAGTTTAAGTATTATTTTGTATTTTTATTTTATTATTAAGCATATAGTATCATATCATTACTAATGTATTTTGTCAACATTTTGTGATATCATAGTGCAACAATGAGTAATTTGTTTTATGTTAATTTTATCTGCTGGTTTAATTTATACATTATTAAATACTTGAACTATGTGATTTAATAACTATACAATATTTTTACAACTAACTTAATCATCATCAAATGATACCTCCAAATGGATACGAATATTGGGGTTTTTGAGAATGCCATTATACAGGTAGTAGTTGAAAGTGTAACATCAGATATGTTAGTAGTATCTTATACTGCCAAAAATGGATCTGTTTACCAAGGCATACTGCTCAATAATGCCAAAAAGTATGAATTAATTACCTATTAATACTTATAATTTAAAGACAACTTATTTTCTAAATTTTATAGGCGTTTTCCCTGTGGAAGTGTTCCCTTGACAAAAGCAGAATTATCGCCTAGAAATTATAAGACTGCATCTGATAATGATGTTTTGTATGCTGTTAGTCAACGCTTTACATATTTTCAAAATGCTCCTACTACATTAAAAAAAATTCCCAACAAAACTAAAAAAGTAAAAAAGCCAATGACTGTTCGTCTAAGACCAAGGCAAATTTTATGCACTATGTGTAAATCAGTTTGTAATGAAAATCCTAATAATGTTGAAATTTCTAAATTCCCAATAAAAAATGAAACCAAAAATTTCCTTCCTGAAACAAATAATGAAAAGAGATTGTTACGTAGTCAAGGACCTGTTCCTGAACTACCTAATGCAACATCTAGTTGTGTTTCTGAGGTAAAATCAATGTGTCGCAATTTGATACCTAATATTGTTAAGTTGAAATCTAAAGAATTAACTCGTGACATTAATAATTATTCTAACTATATTGAGAGTAATGAATGGATTAATAAAAAAGACTGTAAAGATGACTGTGATAGTAGTGAAATAGTATTGAAAAAAAATCATAATGATTCAATTAATGACTTATGGCATGAGACTGCTTTTGATGAAACAAAAAAAACACCTATCATTAAAATATCATTTGGATCTCTTGGGGAAGGTACAGTCATGGAAATACCATCAAGACAGACTGATGGTGAAAATGAACAAGATAAATCAACACGTAAACGAGGTAAACGAAGGCGGCCAGATGGAGAAAAAAAGAAAAAACATAAAAAAAAACATAAGGATCATAACATTAAAACAAATCATTTTTTATTAAACAGCAATCATATTAATAATGAAAAAGAATTTGATTTTAGTGAAGGAGCTAATGGCAAATGTGAACCAATTAGTGAAATTTATTCTGAAATTAATAATAGTAATGTTAATTCAAATGGTTCACCTAATCATTTAATTATTCCTAAAGCAGAATCACCAGAAACATGTTATTTTATGTTAAAAACTGGTAAAATTTTATATAAAAATGATATTGTGTGGGGTAAAGTTAAGGGTTTTCCATGGTGGCCAGCAAAGGTATGAATATGTTGATTTTTAATCATGAGCTTGCCCAAGGGAAATGTATTTTATTTAATTCTATATAAATATTGAAATTCATAAATATTAAGTTTATATCTAATATATAACACTTATTGTACAAACCTCAGTCAGTGTTTTAACTAAATTTGAAAAAAAAGGCATATGATATAAACTAATAAAAAATTAATACAGTAATAGGCACTAATAGTATCCACCTACTAAATGTGTAATCTAATTATTTTAAATTTTAAGCAAGCTAACTCATTTTTTATTTTCACAAAATATATTTGAAAAACTGAATAATATTACTTTACCTGAAGAGAGTAATATATTGTATATTGAGAATATTTTTAGGGAAGCCTGGTACATTTTTTCTTGACCAATGTTTTTTGCTTATAATTTTTTTTGAGTTACTATTTTAGGTAAAAGAGTGGCTATTACCTGAATTTTAAAGACTAGAGGTTTGGGCTTCATTAATATGCCTTAGATTCTTTTTTAAAATACCAACATATTATAATACACTGACTGGTGTTTATTACTGTAGAACAATTCCTGGATATGCTCATGATTTCTTTTTATGGTAAATTATATAGTAAGTACTGAAAATCTCCAATATTTTATAGGTTTCAAATTTTTCTACTAGTAATGGTGAAGAACAAGGCTCATTTATTAATGTCACGTGGTTTGGGTCTTCCACAACATCATATCTTAACTGTGATCAGATAAATCCATTTTTAGACTTTTATAAGGTATTTAAACATTATTAAAAATTTTATGAAGTATACTTGTACATAGCATTAAAAAGAAATATTCACTGAATTCATTCCAAATTTTAAATAATTTAACTACACAATTATAATATAAATATATTTTTATAAATATATTTCAGTTTTACAAGAAATTATTAGAATTTATTATGATTTTAAAAATATTTTAAATAGGTTTGAATGTGCAGCAATTGACAAATTTTAATTTTTAACAATATATTAGATTAATTTACAAAGTAGTTATAATGGTTTAAATCTGAATGTTATTCTTAAAGTGCTAATTATTTCCAGAGTAGGGCAAAGTTTTATTTAAATAATAATCTAATTAAAAAATGATTTCAATAATAATGTATTATTATAAAAATAAATCTAATTTAAATATTATAAATATTATTATTTGTATAAATTATTTTTAATCATAATTTTCAAAACTATTAAAATACATTTTCTTACAAATAATTATCTAGATCAGTGGTCGGCAACCTTTTTTAATTCTCGGGCCACATTTACAAATTAAAAAGAGTTCGCGGGCCAGATAAAAAAAAAAAATTTATAATTACATTATTTATTATGCAAAAAAATACTATCTAAAACTTAAAATAATAATATGACTTATATAAAATACCCGTACCAAAAACGCAACGTTCAATTATATTTATACAAAATGATATTCAATTAAATTAGTCGATTTAGAATTTAAAGCGGGCCGTATTCAATAGCCACGCGGGCCGTATCCGGCCCGCGGGCCGCCGGTTGCCGACCACTGATCTAGATGATAATTCACTCAAAACTGATAATTACATATTTTACCCTAATTAAAATTAAAAAACAAATTAATGAAAGTAGTTGTGCTCAATATTACCTCGCGTGTCTAAATAATAAAAACTTACTAGAAATCATTGTTTTAAGTTAATTATTTGTGGCAATTGAAAGTACAATAACTAAATATCTCACTTTTACTTAGTATTTTACATTATGTATTAGTACATTAATGTCTTTAATTTTTTTAAATTTAATTTTAGTTTAACTTTAAATTACACAAGACAAAAGTCTACAATATTTAAGTGAATTTAGTAAAAAAAATTCGAAGTTAATTTTGAATTTTTTAAATTTGTCTATCACATCTAGTTTTAAGATGATGACTAACTATAAAAATAATAATAATAATAATAGTGATCATTTTTTTATTGGTGCCTTTTGATGAAACAACTACTGCACAAATTGTCCAGATGGTATCAAATAATTTATTCTAGAGGCCATTTCTATTTCTAACTAATTTATTTCCTCTCATCTGTTGTCCCCGCATACAACTGAGATGAGACATTCCACCTAAGTTTTGTTTAGGACTCCTCACACTTTTTGACAAAATTTTACATTGGTTGTTGACCTAACACAACCTCATTAGAGAGAAAAAGTGTAAAGCAATTAAAAGATTGTAAAGGATGGTGTTATATGTTGTGAGAGACATAAATGATGTGTGGAATAGATTTGCTAGTTGTGTTAAGAATATTGCAAAAGAGATTGTTGGTGAGAGTAAAAGTAGAATGTCAGTAAACAAGGAAACCTGGTAGTGGGATGAAGACGTTCAAAAAATCATAGAAAGTAAAAAAAAGCAATTCAAAGTATGGCAGAAGAGAAATAGGAGAGAATATTGGATGGAGTATTAACACTTTGCAAAGAAGCCAAGCTTGCAGTAAGTAAGGCGAAGTTTAAGAGGTATGATGAGTTGTATGATAGGCTAGAAATAAAGGAAGGTGAGAAAGAAATCTATAAACTTGCAAAAATAAGAGATAGAAGGACTAAAGATTATCATTATATAAGGTGTATAAAAAGTGCTGATAATAGGGTACTCGCAAATGATGATGATGTGAAAAAAAGATGGAAAAAGTATCTTGAAAAATTACTGAATGAGGAGTACCCAAAAAAAGGTGACATACAGGAATGTGAAAATTATAGAAGCATAAAGCTTATGAGTCATACTATAAAAATTTAGGAAAAGGTAATAGATAAGAAGAGAATAAGAAATAAGACTTTGGTATCCAAAAAGTAGTTTGGATTTATGCCTGATAAGTCAACAATGGTGATATTATTTTGTGTGAGACATTTAATAGAAAAGTATAGGGAAAAGAAGAAAATGCTGTGTATTTATAGATTTGAAGAAAGTGTATTATACAGTACTGAGAGAGGTTTTAAAGTGGGCATTAATGAAAAAAGGAGTCCCTAAAAAGTACATTATTATAATAAAGGATATGTATGATGACACTTGTACCTGTGTAAAAGTGTAGGAGTACAGAAGGCTGTATGGTGAGAGTAGTGCATGTTGTTTGCTGATTATATATTATTGATAGGAATTTATTAGTCAAAGGCTAGAGGTGTGGAGATCAACTCTTGAAGGAAAGAGATTAAGAATAAGTGGGAATAAGACAGAAGATATAGAGTATGAGTTTGACAAAGGAGAACAGGAGGTAAGTGAAATAAGAAAATCAGTGACAATAAGCAAGGACGTGATAAAAGAGGTGGTAAGTTTTAAGTATTTGAGATCAGTTGTGAATACGAGGATGTAAAACACAAGTTTAAGTGCAAAATGGAGAAATGGAGAGAAGCATCTGTTATGTTATGCGATAAAAGAATTTCAATGAGGCTGAAAGGTAAATTCTACAAGATTGTAGTGAGATCAGCTATGATGAATGGTTCAGAATGTTGGGCATTTGACAAAAGAATAGAACAGGAATGTGTGTAACACAGATGAGAATGCTTAGATGAATGAGTGGAGTGACTAGAGAAGATAGGATAAGGAACAAACATATAAGAGGGAGTGTAGGTGTAGTGTCAATTGTTGATAAGATGAGAGATAGTAAACTTAAAAGGTTTGGTCATGTTATGAGAAGATAGGAATCGGAAGCTGTGAGAACAGTTATTGAAATGAATGTTGAAGGTAGAAGAATACAAAAAAAGGGATGGAGGGATGCTATTGAATGCGATATGAGGACGTCTGATGTGGGAGATTGTCATAAGTGGAAGTTTAAGATAAGAGTGACCAACCCCAAGTAGTTGGGATTAAAGCGAGGAAAATAACAACAATATTAATTAAATGAATAAATGAATCACTCTGTACACAAAGTTATTTAATTTATTATTTCAAACTTTATTTAGGTTTATTTTGGTTATTCGGGATGAGTCTTAAAAAAATTCTATATTGTGATTTGATTTTACATGTAAGGTTTATATTGTTTATGGGTTGTAAATTAACTTGTATATTAAATAATCATAGTTGTATATGAGAATTTTTATATCATTTCTTATTATATTATTTAAGTATTTATTTAAGAACTTAAAGTTAAAAATTTTAATTACCCTTTTTAAAATTTCTTAGACACGTTTCAACAAACATAAAAAGACGGCTAGTTACAAAGAGGCTATAAAACAAGCAATGGCTGAAGCAAAACAAAATGTAAAAAACAAAAATGATAGTTGATAGTTAATAGTTAATCTAAATAAATTAATTACAAAATGTGAAGTAATTACCAAATAATTTTATTATATTTACAAAGTTTTATTTTTGCCTTGTATATTTTTTTATTATTTATTATTATAATTTTTTTTTTTTTGAAATTTTAATTAACGTTTATCAACTAGTCATGAAAATAAGAAGTGTAATCTTGGTCATGTTGAAATAAATGTAGATAGTGTATTAGATTTTGTATATTTATTACAACTTTATCATTTTAAGTTATAAATTTACAAAATATATTAGTTCCTTAAAAATAAATCATATTGATTACTTTATTGACTCTAATGATTAAATTTTAATAAAAGTTAATGTATATTTCATATTAGTCAGTTATGCACTTTGTTTTGGTATATTTTATTGTTCTGCTCATTAAATTAAAATTAACTTTATTTTTATAAATAACTTAAAAGATGATATTATATTATGTTGAATAATAGTTTCAAATAATATATTGCTAATTGGTTTGTTTCATTCTTGTTACAATAGGAATTGTTTACAATAAAACAATATTTTATCAAATTTATTTTATTTTTTTTATATATATTATAAATAAAATCTATAAGATATTTTATTATTGTTATGAAGTAATAATACAATATTTATAACTTTGTAAGAGTAATTTATGTAAATTATTTATTTTTATTGCTTCTACATACTGTTTTTGTTGTTATAAGGTATGTATTATTTTTATTTACTTATTGAAATAGAAAATTAAAAAAAAAAAAAATAACAAAACAGTCGATTAATTATTTAATTTTATTTTATTAACTTAAATTATTTACTTACAATTGTGTCACTATTAAATATATTTTGTAACCTTATAATGTGGCCTAATTTTATATCTGTGGACAATGTAAAACAAATCAAATCATCTGATATCAGTTTAATTTTATAACCAAAAAATTTTTTATACAATTATTTAGTTTACCTATTTGTTAAATGTTTAGTCTTTAATAAATCATATGTTATTTAAAAAACTTTGGTGTTGTATTTATTTTCAATTGAAACAAATTTTGAAATTATTGTTTCTTTTAAAAAAAATTCCTTTTTTATTATAAATGCAACAGTTATAATATTTATATTTTGACTATTGATTAAAAACAGTGACTACTTTCTTAAAATTTGTAGTTTTTTATTAAAAATATTAATATTGTAATAAGATCAATCTTTTTTTTATTTCCTCATTATTTTAGCTTTAAGGTGGCCCTATGTGTTAAATATTTCAGTAAAATTTATCTTTTCTATTGATAGATTTCTATATTTTTTTATAAATTCTGTTGTTTTTATTTAAAAAATATAATTAATATTGTAATCAAACTATAAATCAATATCTAAAAAATATTTAAAAAATTATTATATTTGATTAAAATTGAAAAAATGTCAAGTTTTTCTTCAAAAATTTTATGTTATTATATAAGTGCAATTATTCAATTTTGTGTTTTTTTTATTTTTTGCAATAAAATATGATTTTTATTAAATTTTGATTATGTTTGTTGTACATTAATTGTATGTTGATATGAGCCTTCTTTGGATTAATATAGTTTTAGATTTATTCTTAAATTTAAGTATTTTATCCCTGACCATTTATAAAAGTATAGACACCAGTAGTTAGATTATTCAGTTATATAATTGTTATATATTCTTGTTATAATTACTTCTGTGTATTATTTTTAGATTAATAATAATGTAATTTCATAAAAATCATGGTCTAATTTAATATACATTTAAATATTAATAAAATATGAAATATTATAAATATATATATGTATTACTTAAGGAAAAAATTTACTTCAAAAAATTATTAGATGTAATTCTAATAATACTTATACTTATACATAATGTATAATACTTATAGTAAATTAAAAGGGTCATTAAAAATGTAAAAACAATTTTTTTTTAATTTTCAAAAATACTTGTTAAATTCATTTTTTGAATGCATTGTATGGAACTGTCTTCAAATAAATTTTTCTATTAATTAAATTTATAATTTTAATTTGATAATCATTTTTTAACCAAATCTAAAACAATACAAGCAATCAAAATTATTATATTTTTTTTGTATTCTATATAGTTTCGATTTTATTATATAAATGTATTAAATTATCATGTAATTTTATATCTTAGAATTTTTAATTTATATTATGCATGCATTTGTTTAAGTAACTTAAATTGAGGAGTTTTTTTTTCAATTTTTGAAATCTGTATCCAATTAGACAAAATTCTAGTTATTTTGACATATTGATCAAAGAATAATGGTAAGTCTGTTACAATTTTAATAATCTTTGAATGTAAAAGTATATAAGTTATTTATAAAAATACATTCAGTGATAAACATAATTTTATGATTTTTTAACAACTTCTACATATATTCATATGTAACATATGTGGCTTATATTCAAAAGCTATAGGTTAAAAATGTTTATATTTATAGCTTCGATGCAGAGCAAAGAAAGTATTTATTTTACTATGTGTTTTTTAGCTGAGAAGGTATTGGTTTTACTAAGATTTGTTTTTTTTTTTGTCTGTTATCACTTTTTCTCAGTTTTCACCAAACCGATTTCTTTCAACGATTTGTCAAAAGATTACAAATTGTATCTAGTCGAAGACATTACCCTCAAAAATTGAAAAAAATTCCCTCGTTCCCCGAAAAAGGGGAAAATCCCTCAAAAAATAACAAATTTATAAATTATAAATCGCTAATTTTCGAAATTTTTTTTACTTAGAACTGCCATAACTTAATGAAAAATGACTAAACCAATATAATTTTTTTTATAGATGCTTGATGTTTTTACCTATTATTTTATATTTTTTGTTTATAAATCTAATCCTTTACCGCCCACAGGGGGGGATTTAAAATGACAACTTTTTCACAAAATTAAAGTTTTCAGCTTAACTTTTGAAAGTGTTTCGAAAATACTGTCACTATTATATATATTTTAAATTAAAGCTAATGTAATATACTTTATTATGGAAAAAAAAAATGGACTTCATTTTGTCTTCACGGTGAAAATGGTTATCGAATGCTATTTTTGTGTTAAAATTCTCGATTTTATATTTTACATTTTTCACTTTATAATGCTATAACTTATTGAAAAGTGTATGAATCAACACAATTTTTTTAATGAGAAATAATATTTTTTAATAGTCCCTTTTTCATTCGACATACTTTATCTTAATCAGGATATAAATAAGGAAATAGCAAATCATGTAGCTTTTGGAATAATCCACCAATTTTTTTAAATTAAACACTATCTAAAGATATGCAATTTTTACTAAATAAATCATAAATCTTTTTAACGTTATGATGCTAAAACTTTTTGAAAGAAGTAAAAATAAATGTATGAATTATTATATATTTTTTGAGATAAGTACTATTTATATTTATTTATTCATATATTACACTTCTAAATCATAAAACTTGTAATTATCATATAAATAAGTAAATAGGAGATCATGTTACTTTTGGAATAATCCATCATTTTTTTAAAATTAAACACTATCGAAAGATTTGTATTGAAGCGTTTTTTATGATAGTGATTTTAATCAGTCAGATATCATTATACTTAACCCAACTATGCCACGTCCCCACTGTGCTGTGTTTTTTGTTTTGCCACTTTTTTTTAGATCTTACAGAACCGATTTCTTTTAATTATACGTCAAAAGATCACAAATCATATTTAGTTAATGACATTGCCTTTAAACATTGAAAAAAATTCTATTGTTCCTTGTAAATAGTGAAAATTCCACCCCAAAAATTACAATTTCAATAAATTTCGACATTTTTTAAACTTTTTTTTTTCTTAAAAAAGACATAATTTTTTAAAATATTAATGAATCAAAATAATTTTTTTTTATATAAATACCTTTGTTATTTTCCTTTTTTTTTATATTAATTTTTGGATAATCTGATCCTTTATCTGCTTACAAGGAGATTCAAATTAGGAACTTTTTCTGTTTAATTTTTGAAAATGTTCCGGAAATACTGCGTCCTTTATATATATGTTGGATTAAAGCTTATGTTACGTACAAAAGTTAAAAAAAAATTTTAGTGACTACTTATCTCATATGTACAAATGGATGTCATAGATAAATAAACATGTTATTTTTTAGTTAAAATATCCGATTTATATTTTTGACATACCTTTTATCTAAATTAGATAATTTTACTTTATATAAACTAAAAAACAATTTCATATCGAATTTGTTTTGAGAGGAGGAGTTGTGGGGTCCAATCTTTTTTTCGTGACTTTGAAAAACATATAAAATTGAAAATTTTCATTTAAAATTTTTTTTTCAATCGTTCTCGTTAAAAATTCAATGAAAACGATGGAAGTTGAATTTTTAAAGTCTATTCAAATGTTCAAAGCTAAATTTTACTATTTAGGCAAACGAGACTGAATAAAATGTATTTTTTATCCAATTGAGCTCGATAGTTAGACCCCAAGCGACACTTTTAAAACACAAAGATAAATCACCTCAATGTCCATCCATTAAAAAAATTCATGTGGGAATATTTATCGTATTGTTTAAAACAGTGTTTCAATAATTATTATAAAAATAAAAATTATACTCATCTCTAGTAAATACTTGTAGTTAAGTAGTATACTTAGATCGCCTCTTTGGTTGATGTTACTGCTCTCCCATATAGTATGATCAGCATTTGCTTTCATACCAAAGATAAGTTTTAACTTTTCTTTATTACAATAATTAAGTAGCGCTAGTAGGTTCCTCCCTAGGTATGAGGAATCATATGGTAGGTATCCTGAGGCTACTATAATTGTTTTATCATCACTTAATGTTACCATAATAGTTGTCCAAGTCTGAGATTGACAAATTAAGTTTTCAAAATTTAAAAATAATTTTTTTTTAAGTATTGTAACTATGAAATATTTTCTAAATTTATAAAATTAAGGGACAATATATTTAATTTGATATATAATATATTATATAATTGAAAAATACTCATATTGTCACAAAAAAAAATACCATTTCAACTTTATATCAAAGTCAAATTAATCAAAAAATAATTATTTAAATTATTAAAGGATGGATAGGTAAAATAATAAATGATTAATTATTCTTTTTTTTAAAGAAAATATTGCAGATAATTAACAAAATCTAAACATTTAAATTTTATTTTAATAAAATTATAAAAGCTTAAGTTTATTTTTCAGATGAAAAAACTACAATTTTCTTATAGATAAAATTAAATTTTTTATTAATTGATATTCAAGATATTGATTTTATAGTAATTTCTTTATTTAATGCAATAATGGCATGATTTCTTGGAGAACGTAACGGATCAAAAAGTTCTGCTACAAATGCTTCTGTTATACCCTAGGAAAAAAGGTAAAACATAAAATTATTAAAAAACTAATATATTTTAGCTTAAATTTATTTTATTATAATACTATATATAGCTTCTATAATGTGAAAATATATTGTTTTTTAAAAGTTGCCATTACAAATAAAATTTGAAGAAAAAAAATTGAAGGCTAATGTAAATATTTCTCTGACTAAAATATATTTTAAATATTAAGACTATATGTATTAAAATGCTTGTAACATAAACTGTCCCTCCCTATTTTAATCACATTGTGAGATACATGCTAAAAGACCATAGTAATATAGTCCGTAATTTTTACAATACCATAAAATAATATTGGCAGTAGTATAATACTGTACATTTTTACTTTTTTTTTTACTAAAATTGACTATTTTAAGATTAAAAAATAATTAGTCAACAACAAAAAATAAATGAGCAGCACAATTAAAAACAGTAATAGTAATAAGTAATATTTTACTATATCTATATATAATAAACATAAAACTATCTATTAACAATGTGACATACATATAACATAGAATCTAATATTTAGTATACACAGCGAAATAATTATATGCAGTGATTAGTTCTGTTATTAATCCCCTTTTATACAAGTGATCCCATGACCTCATTATGATGAATTGATACATTTATAATATTGCAACTTAAAAAATAATCATTAATTATTAATTCAAGATTAAATTACAAAAAAAATTATTTTTGTAATTAAATACAAGTAATAAAAAATATGATTTAAATGTAATCAAAAACTGTAAAAATAGTTTTTAAAAATATAGCATAATATTTGCTGGTTTAAAAGTTATTAATTATGTCAAAATATGGTGAGGTACTAAATAGGATTTTTTAAATATTTGTACAAAAAAAAATGTTGAGTAAAAAATTAAAATATAAGTGCATATTTAGTACTTATAATACTTTAGAACATACTTATTATGGAAGTATTCAGTAGAACTTTAAATTACAGGCCTTAATAATTAGTATTCCAAGTAAATTTTATTTTATAAAACCCCAGAAAACCAGAAAAATGTTGAAAATACGCCACAGATTATATGTTATAACATATAAATCTTAGAATGAATTAAATAACTTATACATTATCAGGTACAATTAACATAAATTATGGTTAACCCAACTCAACAGAATTGATAAATCATCATAGATAATCACAGATATCATAAATTAAAACATTATAAATTTTCAAGGCTTCGGAAAGTTAATGAAGTTTTTTAATTTGTTAAAATTAAGTTAATTTCAAAAAATTAACGAGTAATAATTCTTTGCGTTTGACTGTAAAAATGAGGTAAGGTTATTTAATTAACTATTATCGTCTTCTAATAGTACTACCCAAATAAAAATAGCAATTGAAGAGATTTGTAACAAAGAATCAATTTCATATACACTCTATATACTTTATTCATGTACTGCTGATAAAAGCTAGGCAAATTTAAAAATTTTTTTACTTTTTTAATTAAATTAAAAGTTAAACTGATAAAATCTCAATAACTTTTTATAAAATAATTTTAATTTTACGTAAAATCTAAATATCTCTGTTAACCTAAAAATTTTAACTTATATTATCTTGTTTATGTATACCTTGTCATTTTTGGCAAAAGTCCTGAATTCTATTCAGAGGTAAATCAAGAATTTATTTTTGAAGGAGATAATTTTTAAATGTCAAAATCAATTTTTGGCTTATTTTTCAATATACTGTTTTAAATAGGTGATAATATTTGAATAATTGGCATTTTCCCCTTGGATCTGCCACTTAATCTATTGTTTCACCATAAATTACATTGGTATATTATTTAAGACTGATTTGAAACAAAAATTTCATAAAAATATCATCTAGATTTTTTGTAAAATTTAACGATTGGGCTAATTATATAGATGTATGGATGAAAAAAAATCAATATCATTTTAAATCTATTCATATCGCCCATCACCGGTCAGTATTTGTTTGGTGTTAATTCTAAAAAATTTTCACAATCAATTATCATCATAAATTATGTTTTCAATGTAGATATTGTTTTTGTAAATGTTGATTTAATTTTAATTATTTTTAAAATAAAATATATATATTTATCATAACATTAATAATCTAAAAAATTTATATAAAAAAAAAAAAAGGAAACAAAAAATATATTCAGTCTATCAAAAGTTATAGGATTTATCAAGACACCTTGAATTTTATTATCATTCACAGAATAATATTCATAATTTATGCATATTTTAAGTTTTCTCATTCATAATCACATTTTATTCCAAATAAATATATTGATATAAACTGACATGTTTAATTTTCAAGAACAACAAAAAAAAGATATTTTTAAACTTTAATTTTATACCTGCTCATAGAGATAGAGAAGCCTATCCATCAATATGAGTCCTTCAATAACAGGAGCTAAAGCTTGCTTAAGTAGAAAAAATATTTTCAACTTTTCAAATTCTAAAAGATGTGTTTGATACAAATTATAAATTTTTTCATCGTCAACCTATAAAATTTTATTCATTACATCATTATATTTGATAACTTAAAAAATTTGTTGAAATTTATACCTGAACGTCATCAAGTTTAAGTCTCTTTACAGCTTTGTGGACATATTCATTAAATGTTGAACATTTATGTGCTAACCGACCTACATGTTGTCTTTTTATTTCATTTAGACCAATTTCTTGTTCTAGATACAATTGTAAAAGTGCCCGATAAAATAAAGGCTTAGTTGGATATTCAAGCTAAAAATTTAAATATCATTACTTGTTAGAAACTAATATAAATACTTTTGCAATTTTGAAAGCATATTGTTTTTAAAACTAATAAAGTAAAGTTTTACTGGAAAATAGTCACTTTTGAAAAATTTAAACAGGTTTCATCAAAAATACTTTACATAATACAACCATAATTTTACTGAGAAGAGATATTCATTTTTTAAATTATTTTTTCAAATTAATAATTTCTGAGCTTGCAATTTAAATCTGAGAAACTATTGATTTCATCATGATGAAATATTTTATTTATTTTTTTTGTCTCTCTTTGCTAATTCCCAACAGCCAAAATATCCCAAATTATATCTAAAGACATTAGATAAAGACATTATCCTTAAATTAGTTTTCCTGATTTTTAGTAATGAATATATCCAAAAAATGCTATTTACAAAATCTGCTGATTCTGACCTTTTTTGGCTTCGATGTGAAGCTGAGAAGGTATTGGTTTTACTATGATGTTTTTTTTTTTGTGTCTGTAATCACTTTTTCTCAGCTCTCACCAAACCGATTTCTTTCAACGATACGTCAAAAGATCACAAATCATATCTAGTCAAAGACATTACATTCAAAAATTGAAAAAATTTCCCTCGGTCCCGTAAATGGGGGAAACTTTCAAAAAAATTACAAATTTTTTCAATTTTTTTTTACTTAAAACTGCCATAACTTTCTTAAAAATGAATAAATCAATATAATTTTTTATTATAGATGCTTGATGACTTTACCTATCATATGGTGTATTTTTTTTTATAAATCTGACTCTTTACCTGCCCACAGGGTTGAATTTACAATGACAACTTTTTCACAAAAATTAATTTTTTCAACTTAACTTTTGAAATTGTTCAGGAAATACTGACACTTTTATATATATTGTAAATTAAAGCTAATGTAATGTATTTTATTATGGAAAAAAAGAATTTCGGACTTTATTTTGTCTTCACGGTGAAAATGGCTACCAAACGCTATTTTTGTGTGAAAATTCTAAATTTTATTTTTAGATTTTTAACTTTGTAATACTATAACTTATTGAAAAGTGTATTGATCAACACAATTTTTTATGAGAAATAATATTTATATTTCTTTTTCATTCAACATACTTTATCTTAATCAGGATATTAATAGGGAAATAGCAGTTCATGTAGCTTTTAGAATAATCCATCAATTTTTTAAAATTAAACACTATCTAAAGATATGCAATTTTTACTGAAAAATACAGAAAAAATATATTATTTGGAACCTACATATTACATTATAAATCAAAATTAATCTAAACCTTAATGATAAGTTTAAAAGTGCAAATAAAATAATTAGCAAACTATTAAAATATACTCTCACATCTTTTAAATTAAATATTTTTTCTGGTGACTGAGATGCACACATTCTAGCATCTCTACCTAATTTAAATTGTTTATTCTTCAAGAATTGGCTTACAGGAAATCCGTAACACTTTTCACTGTTTAATGCTTCTTTAACATCCTGCCAGATAGGATCAATAGTAAATTCTTCTTCTAAGAGGTGATAACAACATCCAACATTCACTAATAGCATCAAATTATTTTGAGGATTAGTAAATAATTTTAAGCAAGTAGTGGCTAATGAACCACATGTATGCAGCCCAACTAAACCAGCTCTTTTATTTTTAATGGCATCAAATTTTTTTTCAACTAGTGCTGCAATATTAGTATGATCAGTAACATATTCTGTGACCTGTTTATAAGTTTTGTCAATCACTATAGGCTTTCTTTTATATTTTTCATAATACTCTTCATAATTATTAAGCTTTTCTTTAATTATGGAATTTGATTTTGCATTATTTTTTGAAATTGAGGTCCAGTATTTCTAAAAAAAATATATTTTATTTGTTATTAACAGAATGTTGCAATATAACACATACACATCATAAATTAATGAGTCATTAATAATATTTAAAAAAATGCATTTATAAATTAAAAATGACTTCACAATTTAACAGTAAATAATATTTTTATATTGAAAAATAATATATCAACTTACACATATTGGAAATATTAAAAACATTAACCCTTAGAAAATCTAAATGAAATTTTATATATGAAGCAATAAATTAAGAATTCATCATTACTACTCAGCTATTACCCATTTTATAAAATTTATTTTAAGAGGTTTAATAATTATTTACGATTTTATTTTATTACAATGAATTTAACCAAAAAAATTTGACCTATAATAATTTTATTTATGAATTACTTTAACTCATCAAAATAAAGCAAGGTAGATTCTATCTATATATAATTGTCTGGTAGATACACAGTGGTGTACCATAATTTTTTTAATTAAAAGGAGATCAAAACCAAAAAAACTTAGTGACCTCTTTTAAGTGAATTTTTAAATCATATATTGGGTTTGCTTGGCCAATGTATGGGGACTTAATCCTTTTAAACACTTCCTGAATATGCCACTATGTGTTGAGTAAATAGTGAATAATTTGTTCAGATATTTTAATTAACAATAGTTTTTATGAACTTAGGCAATGTACACTAAAAATGTATTTAATTACCAAATAAATAAAAATATGCAAATATAGGGGGTAATTTGTGGGGATGAAAATGATAGATCCACAGAATAATAATTACATGGTGAAGATACAATTCTTTTCAACACCGTAAGCAAAGTAATATTTATATATAGTTATGTTTTACATTAACAAGCTATGTGCAAGAATAATAAAAAAAAATACAAATGCTACCTTGCATTTGTATTAAGATATGCTTTGCTACTAAAAGCTATCTTAATAGCTATCTTTATAGATACAAATTTTAATAGTTATTAATTTGTTTTGACAACTATTTATTTATTCAACAAACCTCAAATTTAATAGTTCTATTTCTAGCTCCTTCTGAATTTATTGACTGAGAATCTATCCCCAAGACATTTAAATTATGAGCCAATGCTAAAAGTGAACTAAGATATCCTTTTCCACCACCAATGTCCACAATGACATTAACATCCATTAACTCGGAAAATGCATTAATTATACTGGTCAAAATTTCTACTTCATGTTTTTTCTTTGCTGACATGAACTCTTTCAATTTGTAAACTTCATTTAGATCAATATCCAGTGATTTGAGTACATTATCTCTTTTTTTAAAATAGCATGTGGGATAAGTTTCTAAAATATAACATCTAGCTAATGCAACAAATTTGCTAAGAGAATTAGTAGATGGATTATTGGTCCAAAATTTTAATAGCAAATTATTTGAGCCATATATATTCATATCATATTTTATGTCTTCAGGAATAACAGTTTCCCATACATTTTTTGTTATAAAATTTACTACATGACTATTAGCAATAGGTAAAAATGGATTAAGAAATTTGATAACTTCCTCAATCTTATATTTCAATGGATCCATTATCAAAATATAAAATATTTTTATTAAAATGAGTTAACTTTAAATTAACACAAAATTTTTTATACAGACCTTTAATACTATTCAAATTATCAATTATATCTATATGTGATCTGATATTAGAAGAAAATATCTTAATAGCTGCATTAATTTTATCTAATGTAAGTAAATCTTTCTTAGAAAGTAAAATTATATTCTTTTCTTGTAATTTCTCAATAGTTTGCAATGTTCCAGTATAAAAACCAATTTCTAGACCGATATCAAAACCTTTTTTATATCCTAGTTGAAAACCTTCATTGAAAGTATCTTCCATACATTTTTTTGTTCCTTCGATAAATTTTTTTTTTGCTAAATAGCTTTCAGTAAGGATTATATCATTAATGACTGAATCATACTCATAAAGTGACATATTTTTTATCCCTAAAAAAAATAAAATGAATTAAAAACTTCTATAATCTTAAAAATAAATTAATTTATATAATAATACAATATAGGGTTTCAGTTTATGTTTACAGCCAATGGCTACATAAATGTTTTAGTAGAACCTAATAATGTAGAAACAATAATGATTTTTAAGAGTTTAAAGATATAAGTATTTTTGTACTGATATTTAGATAGCAATATTATTGCTGTATCATATAGTTTTTTAAGTAGCAAAAATGGTACCACAGAAATTCCATTGCTTGAGATTATGAAAAAATATATAACACTGTGTTACATCCAACAGTGTTATACACACAGCAGGGTGCATCAAAAAAAGTCGATCACCAAAATTTTATAAGAACCTTTTAACTTTATTATATATATTAAAAAAGACATTTTTTGCAAAAAGACACGTCGCTCAACGTTTCTTTAGTATTTTTGACCAAAAATAAATAACAAAAAACAGACTTTTTATATTTAATTTTTTGATTAGTGTCTAAAAATATGGTATATATTATAATAATCCCAGTACAATCCTTAAAATTAAAAAATAATTTAAATACTTACAAAAGCATTTTTTTTTTTAAATAAGTTCAATGAAAAATTGGAGCTTATCTAGGACAGTTATAAAATTTTCAATTAGTTCAAGACGTACTGATATTTATACCTATATCATATATGCATACACAAATATTATATTATACTATAAATATATAAAAATTTACCATGTATTGAAACTTATATGTATATTTATAACATTCTTTTTCAGAGATATTTATGTAACTAATCTTTTTACTTATTTCGAAATTGCCTTCTTAAACTAATGCAAAGATTTGGTAAAAAAAATATTTCACGTGATTTAACATACAAACAATTTATTACAGATTTATTGATACTATTATCACAAAATGACACTGTTGTTCGGGAACTTTTTAAAAAAATTATAAGAGCCTAACCTAAAATGACGAACTAGATTACAAGAATATATTAATCGTACTATTTGTAGCATATATTACAATATTGAAGTAAGTCGGAGTATTACCAGTTTGTATTAATCCCCGTAATACAATATTATTTATATTTAAATGCAAGACATAAAAGTAAAAATAAATTTATTCATGAAGAAAAAAAAAAGTACTCTAAAATGGAATTTAGGAACATGTGATAAGACACCATAGTGTATCCCATGATTATAGATTGAAATAATTACACCAGCTAAGTTTTTACGCAACTATTCGATAAAAACACCGAAAATAATTTTTTTTTATGGGATAATCTTATATCGTGTACAAGTTTTTTATCAGAGAAAAATGTTTCTATACGGATTATAGACATTATTTGTTATAGAAATTAAATTTTAAATAGCTTATTATGTTAAATTCTATTGTTCGTTTATATTTTTTTGATCAGTTTATTTTTGAGCAATAGAAGTTTTGGTATAATATCTTTATAAGTTGCCTTATATGATTCCAGATACTAATAAACTTACATTATCCCATGAGTGCCCTCTTTCATTCCAATGTACGTTGTCTTAGACAACGTATAAAAAAAAAAGTTTTCTATAGACAACTTGTCTATAGAAAAAACATTTTTTTTTCATTAAAAAAAGATGGCGTCTATTTGGCTATACAGGCAATATTACGCAGTTTGTAATCTAATTTATTATCTATATCTGTCGAATTCAATAAAGAATAGAAATTCCGCTTATCATTTGACTGAAAGGAGCGCTGACTACCAGACGAGGGCTCAAAAACCATTTGAAACATATACGGTTGGAATGAATTATCTAACTATTATAATAAAATACTTTAAAAAATACTGTTCAAAGACTTCAATTATTAAAATTAATCAGTTATTTTATCTTAAATTCACAATTTACAGTTACCATAAAATTTTGATTCAAAAATCAAAATAATTATGTCTAAGTGATAAGAAATTGAAATATTTCAAAAATCGCCAATTAAAATGATTCAGCTGTTCTATTGAACAATTTACTTGAAATAATAGGTAAAATAAAAGTTTTTGATTTTATTTTTACCTAAAAAATATATAAAATAATATTTCTAATGATTATCTAGAGATAATACAAAATACATTCAATAGTTTGAAAAATTAGAAACCATTAATGTAGTTAATTAGAATTTAATTTATACCACCCTCATTTATATCAGAAATGTTAATTAAAAAATTTTTAACAAGAAGAAATGGAATATAAAATATAAAAACCCAGCACAGTGGGGTTGCGGCACAATGGTGACGTAGCATAGTTGGATCAAGTAAAATTATACCTGACAGTGATTAAAATCACTATAAAAAAAAAAAACGCTTCGATGCAAATCTTTAGATAGTGTTTAATTTTAAAAAATTGGTGGATTATTCCAAAAGCTACATGATCTGCTATTTTCTTATTAATATCCTGAATGAAAAAGGGATTATTAAAAAATATTATTTCTCATAAAAAAATTGTGTTGATCCATACACTTTTCAATAAGTTATAGCATTATAAAGTTAAAAATGTAAAAAATAAAATCAAGAATTTTCACACGAAAATAGCATTTGGTAGCCATTTTCACCACGAAGACAAGTCCAGAGGTCAAATTTTTTTTTCCATAATAAAGTATATTAAATTATCTTTAATTTAAGATATATATAAAAGTGTCAGACTTTCCGGAACATTTTCAAAAGTCAAGTTGAAAAAGTTCTACTTTCTATATGCATTTTTATGTTTTGATCCCCCTCACGTATTAAGGGAAATGGTCCGATTTAAAAAAAAAAGTATGTCGAATTAAAGAGGTATATAAATATTATTTCTCATAAAAAATTGTATTGATCCATACATTTTTCAAATATTTATAGCGTTATAAAGTTAAAAATGTAAAATATAAAATCGAGAATTTTAACACAAAAATAGCGTTTGGTAGCCATTTTCACCGTGAAGACAAAATAAAGTCCGAAATTCTTTTTTTTCCATAATAAAGTATATTACATAAGCTTTAATTTAAGATATATATATAAAAGTGTCAGTATTTCCGGAACACTTTCAAAAATTAAGTTGAAAATGTTAATTTTTTGTGAAAAAGTTGTCATTTTAAATCCTCCCCTGTAGGCAGGTAAAGGGTTAAATTTATAAAAAAAATATACCAAACGATAGGTGAAAACATCAAGCATCTATAAAAAAAAATTATATTGATTTGTTCATTTTTGAAAAAGTTATAGCAGTTTTAAGTAAAAAAAAATGAAACAATTTCAAAATTAGCGATTTTTAAATTTGTAATTTTTTTGGAGGTTTCCCCCATTTACGGGGAACGAGGGAAATTTTTTCAATTTTGAAGGGTAATGTCTTCGACTAGATACGATTTGTGATCTTTTGACGTATCGNTTTTTGGAGGTTTCCCCCATTTACGGGGAACGAGGGAAATTTTTTCAATTTTTGAGGGTAATGTCTTCGACTAAATACGATTCGTGATCTTTTAACATATCGTTGAATGAAATCGGTTCGGTGAGAACTAAGAAAAAGTGAAAACAGACACAAAAAAAAAAAAACACATCATAGTAAAACCAATACCTTCTCAGTTTTGCATCGAAGCTAAAACTAACGGTCCAATATTATTTATGTTTTAACAAATTAATCTATCAGATATGCCACTTTTTTTAAGGTATTTTTTTTAACTTTGTGTACCATAGATATTTAATAAATAAATAATAATTACTATAACAAAATAAAATTAGTATTATTATATCAGTACAACAATTTTGCTATTAAAGCAAATACAATTTTTATCAGCAACTTTTTTGCTTTGTTAACATAATTTTTATAGACTAGAGCTTAAGTCTAGACGTACAAAAATCCAATTGTAAAGCGTGCAAAAAATATCAAACCTATTATGAAGTACAGATTTTAAATAAAAATCTATATTATAAATCATAGGAACATATTATGTTTTTACAAGTTTAAGTTTAAGTTAGAAGTCTACAGTTAAAGTTGATCGTGTGTTAGACTGTTTAAAATTATAGTACCATTATCACAAAATAAAATATTGTTAAGTTTATTATTTTAATCATTTGACAAGAAAGAATAATTAATATTTTATCGAACAAATTAAATGAAATCATTTTTTTGAAATTTTTTTCTATGAAGTTAAAAAAAGTTCATAATTAACATAAATGAATAATATTTTTATTTCACAAAAAATAATCAAATAAACTACAGATAAATATAAAACCTATGTTTATTTTAAACAACGTATTTTTAAATAAATGATCATATTGTAGTTATACAAAATTAAAAAATTCAATAAAAATGTTTATAAAAAAAAAAAACAATGAATAATAACAAATTTTTAGTGGATACCATTACCACCCCATTATCGTATATTCATGATTTTAATTTTATAGCTACAGGTAATTACTATTTAATTCTAAGGAAAAATAAAGTAAATTAGTTAAGGAAATATATGAGTATTTGCAACATTAATTATAAAACCAAATTTATCCTTTACCCTTAAAAATTTTAAGTAAATTAAAAATATGTACAGGGTAATTAAAAAATAAAGATTATTATGTGTACTTAGAAGCATAATAAGTTTCCAAGACTATGTTAAAAAAGGGGAATTGAACAGCAACTAATTCCTTTTATGCCAACATGTTAGACATTAGAGTGATTTGTATAATGGGTAATAAAAGTGAAGAATAATGTAAAAATGAATTATTAACAAAAATAAAAAAATAAGTACCCTTAGGACAACAGTAATTAATTGTTGTATTATCCAATTTATTTATTATTGTATTGCTAAATTATTTAAGTTTTGTTAACTTATCTCGATTACTTACTCCGTATATCAGTTCCAACATTTTTTAAATACAATTTATATATATGAATTTATAAATTTTGTTAGATTATTCTGAACTCATTTCATTTTTAGTTAACTTAAAATCACAGCATAGTAATGTCCTGTAACTAAGGTATACATTTGAGAGGATTAGAGGAGTTCACCCACCTATAACGAAAAATATTTCTATGCTATTATATATTTCTAAAACTATGTTGGACAAACTTAGGTCCCCTTTAAAGTGGTTGAAATAAAATGTATAAATGCATATAAATCAGTTCTTTAGTTATAAATAATAATTTAGATTATACTATCTAAATGTCTAAAAAAATTTTTAGAAAGATAATCTTATAATATTCAAAAATCCGATTTCCACCCATAGGTGAAATTTAAATAAAACTTTCAAATAACATTCTTTATTACATAAAAGAGACGATAAATAGTTAACCTTCAGAAATGTAATCTTAATAAAGTTTTTTTTTTATATTTAAAAGCCCAATATTTAAATAATTGTAAAAAATCTGCATTTTATGCTTCCTCTTGAAAATGAAAGTATAATATTCATAACGTATCTGACCATCAGTAGAAAACTATTAATGATGTTTATTTAAAATTATTTTATTTGTATGGTCTTAATTTGAGAAGTTGGTAAATTTTGAAGAAATCAGTTTTACTACCATAAAAGAATGAAGGTCGCGCTTATGTTGGTAGTCATGTATTCATTCATGTTTTCGTGGCCCATAGTAATTTTGGGTTATGTACCGGAAGTGAGAGTGGGGTCGGTAGGCGGGGGGTTTCCGTTTCATTCATCTATTTACTTCATTCATTGCCCATTGGCAAATGGTCACATATATCCGTTCTAAGGGCATGGCACTGCTGTATTGAGTTATTTTTCTAAAATTTAGTGCGATCGTAATAATGATATCAATACTCTTAAATATTTCTTTGGGACTAAGTGTTAGTATTTGTATCTAATTTGTGATATCGCAGCAAGATTTCTTTGTAAAAAAATTACTTTTTTAAAACAAGTTTTGAGTGATAAATACAGGTATGTTTTTAAATATAATTACAAATGCATTTATTTTATTAAAATAAATCATATATTAGTGTAATATTATGTTATTTGAAATAATATAAGTGTTTATCATTTTTCCGATCTATTCTTAAAATTTAATAAAAATAATTTGAGAGATGCATTATAAACTTTTGAGCTAGAGTGAAAATAACTACTAAATATTTGTCAAAATTGTATTATTAGTAATATAATCGGTAATTTTTTTTATATTACAAAAAAGGAAAGATTCTAGAATTTATTTCATAACTTAATGATTGTTTATGTGGAGCTCGAATTCATTTAATTATTATAGTGTTTCTTATACAATAATGGAGCCAAAGACTTAATTTTTAGTAAAATTAAAGTCTTTTAAGTTCTAATAATGACAATTTATTTAGGAAATAGTTACTAAATATTATTATCATTTTTAAAAACTGTCTGGGTTACGGTTTAAGCTCATGAAACACTTTAAATTATTTTAATTTGTTCTAAAATGTACTATATTTTAGACCTATTTGTACAAATTATGTGAAGTTTCTTTTGGTTCTGTTGTTAGAACAAAAAATATATCATCACATTTATTAAGGATAAAGTTAAAAAAAGTAAAAAATGAATTTGTAAAAATAATTTTGATTCTACTAATTTAATTGAGACATTTTAATATTTCTTAACGAGTTATAGAAAATTTATACCTGGTAGATTATGAATCAGAATATTTTAACAAAATTATTACTGGCTAATAATTACTTACCACTTAATAATTTGTAAATGAATACTTTGCTTAATTTAATAATAGTCTACTAATTATATATAATAAGATCTAATAAAAAACAATTATTTAATAAGAATTATATAGCCTAGTATGTTAGTTAAAGTATTCTTTTCTAGGGATACTAGTTATAACTTGTTTAAAAACAATTTATTACATTTTCTTAAATAAAATGTATTATTTTTTAAGCCAAAATTTATCTAATTTTTATTTATTTATATGTATTATAAATGAATAATTTGATGTCATTCTTTTTTAACTTAATACGTTATCTTAGATTAATGTAAAGTGACCTTAATATTTATAATTTGTTTATTTATATCCCTACAAATAAGTTATTAGAATATTTTCTAACAATACCTCTTATTATAACTAACTATAGAATTAATTTAAAGTATTCAATTACAATAAAATTAAATAACATAAATCAAAATCTGGTTAAGAACAGGTATTTTGGGTTTAAGTTGAATTTGGTTGAGGTCTAAATGTTTTAAATTATGATTTCCATTAGAGTTTTTTTTAGGTATTTAATTTTACATTTTTGAATGACAGTAATAAAATTTAAGCTCTTTAGAGATTCAATTAATTTTTTGTTTTTTTTTTAGGAGAAAAAAATGGTATGATTTGCAAAGCTCAAAATGCAAACTCACTCAATGGCTTACCTAAAAGCGGTACAATGTGGTTAGTTGATTTCACACACTGTGCATCCATGAATGAAGGTATTTTTTTCAATTCAATTATTAAAATATTAATAACATTTTTGTCAGAAATATGTGATGAATGTTTTGGCATAAGAGCTACAATTCTTTATCAATAGATCCAATTATCATATTTCTAGTTACATATACCTCCATTTATCTGCTAGAAAAATAATTTTTAGGTCCATCCCTTAAATCTTATAAAGGTGTCAACTTAATATTTTTAAATGACAACATATATATTAAATTAGCTTCTAAAACAGAAAATAATCTAACCAAGAAAATGACGAGTTAATTACAAATTTTGGACCAATTTTTTAGAAATGCTTATCATTTTAAAATATTAACTGGAGGTAAAGCGCAGATTCTACTATTTTTATTATTAGTTATTTCATAGCTGCACTCCTCCTACTGTTCAAAAGTTTTTATCTGCCAGTCTTTTTTTACTTTATAAGCTAGTTTAATATGTATTATGTCATTTATAAAAATAATATTTATATCTATATAAGATATAAGGGATGGACCTAAAAATTATTTTTTTAACAGATAAATGGAGATACATATATAACACTTATTACATATTTTTGATACAAAGAATATCTTTTGTAGTAATACAGATTATAAAATTAAAAATAATCAAAACGAGTTTGAAAAATTTTCTAATTTGGTTTGATTGGGTTGGATTTCTTTGAATTTTATCTGATCCGATGGATTAATTTTTTTGGCCCATGTAGAACAAGTATAGGTGAAAAAATTTTCATCCAATTACTTTTTCGCTCTAATCTTCTTTTTTTTCCTCGGCTTAATCCTAATTACTTGGGGTCGGATACCCTTATCCTAAACTTTCACTTGACATGATCACCCATATCCTCAACGCTCACATCAGCTGTCCTCATATCGCATTTAATAACATTCCTCCATCTCTTTTTTGGTCTTTCTCCACCTCTTCTTCCTTCAACATTCATTTTTATAACTGTTCTTACAGCTTCCGATTCTTCTCTCCTCATAACATGACCAAACCATCCAAGTCTATTTTCTCTCATCTTATCCACAATTCACGCTACACCTATACTCCCTCTTAAATGCTCGTTCCTTATTCTATCTTCTTTAGTCACTCCACTCATCCATCTAAGCATTCTCATCTCTGCTCTACTTTCTTATCATTTACCCAACTCTCTTAACCATAAATCATAGCTGGACTTATTACAGTCTTGTAGAATTTACCTTTCAGCCTCATTGGAATTATTTTATCGCATAAGACGCCAGACGCTTCTCTCCATTTCAACCACCCGCACTTAATTCTGTGTCTTACATCCTCGTCAACACCATGGCTCTTTTGCAAAACTGATCCTAAATACTTAAAACTTTCCACCTCTTCTATTACGTCGTCACCTATTGTCACTGATCTCCTCTTTTCACCTACCTCCTTTGTCAAACTCTTATCTTTTCGCTCTAATATCTTTTTAAAAATATTTTTGGCATTCTTAGATTGTTAAAAACATATATTTTTATTATCTATCAAAATTTTAAAGTAGCTATTTTTTTTTTAAAGTTTTAACTTACAAAAAGTTGTTTAATAGGTAAATAAAATTTATATTTTTTTACTTATTGAGTATAAGTATTTTAATATATAATAGAGTAGACTTATACTGCAAAGAGTGTAAAAATTGGCTGAACACATTAGCCCTTATTAAAGGTAAATATTAAATATTCTTGTAATGTAAAATGTTTGAACTAATTATAATGAAATTTTAATTAGATCTGGTTATACAATTTTTCAGTTAAATCTGAGTGTCCTCTATACTTTAATAGATATTTTTATAAAAAATATCTATTAAAGCGTCTCATAACATTTATTATAGTTTTGTGTACTATATAATAAAGATTTATCAATTTTGGTAATGTACAGGAAAAAATTCTGGATAAAATGGGGTATTATAAATATCTTGTTTTTAAAAAGTGATATAATTTAATCAAAATACATTTAATAGGGTACTTATTTTTTGTTATTATAAGTTTTATTCTGAAGTTTCCAAATTTTTTTAATTTTATTTTAAAAAATTTATTCACAGGATATGGAAAATTTTTTTGCTTCCGTTACTGTAGCAGTTTATCTTGTCTGGCCGAATCTCAGACTGTTGATCTTGACTCTGTTTACAAATTAGCAACAGACAGTAATGAGAATGCAAAACAATCAAAGATTTGTGAAAGCTGTACTGAAACTACTAATTCAGAGAAATTGGTACAGTGTGAAGCTAAAGATTTTGAAACAAAAGCTGATGTTTATGATAATAAGAAAGCTTCAGTTGCAGAAAACAGTGATTATCTTAAAATATGGCTAGAATCTCCTGTCCCAGATTCCCCACCACCACCACCACCACTTCCTCCTCGCACCTATAAACATAAACCTTTAGGGAGAACATTAGCTGTGTCACCAACCTCTACCATACCATTAGATACTTTAAGACAGCTTAAACCTAAAGAGTTATTTGAGGGTTCCAATTTGAATAACATTTCATTTATGGATGAGCCAAATAGTCATAAATCTCTGACTAGGGTTTCTAGTCCAGCCGGAGACCATACTAATATGAAATATTCTGTTCAGAAAACATTATTGAATGATGTAAGAGATCATTCAAGATTTATGATGGTAACTAATGAAAATAGAAAACCAAAAAGAGCAGAAAGTAAAAATGACACACCATTACCTCCAGGTTAAAATATTTTAATTTTTAATAATTAAATTAAATTTTAAAATGTTATTATAAATTTTGTTATGTATAGATTGGGAAGCCAGAATGGATAGTCATGGTCGAATATTTTATATTGATCATCGTAATCGAACAACAACATGGCAAAGACCATCAAAACAAAATTGTGATATACATTATTATCATCAACAAAGACAACAATTGGATCGAAGGTAAATGGAAAACCTTATATATAAAAATATTTTTTAATTATTACTTTGATTTTTCTTTTATGTACTGGTTAAATGAATATTTTAATAAAAGTCACTCCGTAGAATTTGTCATACAAACTAAAAAGTTACTAAAATTTGCTTTTTTTATTTTTACAAGAATTATGAGAGTGTTAATTTACATTAGTATCACTTACATCTTTAACTAGCTAATAAAAATTATCTAATTAATTAAATGTCTAGTCAAAAACAATTTTTTAAAAAGTATATTAGAAATGATTTATTTGTTAAATTAAAAGTTATTAAAAAAAGCACAGCAGATTTATGAGTAATGATAAAAGTAACATAACCTACACTTAACCTTCATTCTTTATTTTAAAATAGGGATGACTTCCAAAATAGTATGTCAAAAATTATCATCGGCCAGTCATATTTTTAATTGAATCATGTTTTATTTTATAAGTCATATATTATATTGCCAATTTAAAAATAAAAATCTATAAAGGATAAATAAAAAAAAGATTATAATTGATAAATTGAGTAATATGTGAAATAAGAAATACCAAAAAGAATTTTTTGGATATAATTATTATTTTAAGAGAAAATAATGGATAAGAGTGGCTATTTAAAGAATCACTCTGTGTTTCAATACTTAATTTATCATAAGCCATTGGTAGCTAGAACTTTTAAACATTTAACTTGTAGTATGTAACATAAGCTTTAATTTAATATATGTTTAAAGCTCTGAATATTTCTGGAATATTTTCAAAAATAAAGTTGCAAAAATTATATTTTTGTGCAAAAGTTGCTATTTTGAATACTATTTTTAATCGTTCCTGTAAGAGCTGAGAAAATATGTCAAAAAAAAAAAAGTATCATAATAAAATTAATACCTTCTCATCAATTAAACCTTATGATGTATTATTGATAAAAACGAGAACTGAGAAAATGTAGTAATAGACTTAACAAATAATAAACACATCATGGTAATATTAATATTTTTTCAGATTTGCATCAAAGCTAAAAAAAAATTATATTTAATAAAACATTTAAAATTGTACACTATTTATTTAGTAATTATAAAACTTTAAACATAAAATTTAATTTAAAATTAGAAACAACAAACTCGGTGTTTAATTTTAATATAAAGACTCTTAAATTAAAATATAAATACATATTCATATGCCTATAGTTGAAAAAGGAAAAACAAAAATAATTTTTATTAGAATAGTTAACAACAATTTAGTATTCAATAAAAACTGAATTTAATTAAAATCAAATTATTTATGAGCATGAATTAATGGTAACTTTATATTTTTAACATATTTAATTCATACACCTTATAAGGTCTAGGAGATATTCGGTCAAACCCCAATTAAACATCTGGTCAAATCTTAAATAACCAATAGTTTTTATCAATTTGATAGTAAATAAATATTAACACATTTTTATAAATTTATTTAATGATAATAATTTTTTTTGATGTAAAGAAATGTTCAGATTAAAACAATTGACAAATATGCTTTTTTTTTATACAGTCAATAATATAAAATGTTCTCCGACCTCTAAAATATGCATAATAAAGTGTTTTAATGATTCCAGCGGCTTACAAATTGTTGACATTTCTTACCCCCATACATAAAACTAGTGATGGGACATTTTCGAATGTATTCGATAGTTTATTAAAATTATCACATAACTATTCAAATTTTTTTTGTATAACCAAATAGTTTAATTTTAGCATAAACTATCAAATATTTAAAAAACTATTTAATGATTTAAAAAAATATTCAAATAAATTTGGGTATAGAAAATATGCATGTGAGGATTGTTTAATTAAGGAAGTTAATTTATCAGAATAAAAAAATATAGCTTAGTTAAAAATAAAATATTCAGTTTTTTTTTGTTAACACGTACTAACTACATTAATTATTTAATATTTTGTGTGCATAGTATAATAATGAAATTTGTATCACTCATATATTTCAACGAATAGATTCCAAGTTCTTCCAAACTAGCTTCACTAATTATTTCTGTACAGTCTATGTTCGATAAGGTAAATGCTTATGCAATAATTTCTGTATTTTGTTGACGTTGCCTTCTTTTAGCTTCATGCTGATTCAGTTTTTCTCTATTCTGCTCCCTATATCTTTATTGACGGTCTTATTTTTTTGAACAGCATACTTTTTTTTTTCTCTAAAATTTTATGAATGTAAACAAACATTAATAAAGTATAAACAATATATATATACATTTTAAATGTAATATATACTGCTCATATCCTTGAATGGATGATGTTTATGTTCCTTCCAAACCAGATAAACTATGAGAATTAGCATATGTTATTTCTTCATTACTTATTTCTCTTCTATGTATGTTTGCAAAGTTATATATTTCTATAATAATTTCTGAATTTGTTTGATATTATCTTCTTTCTGCTTTACGCTGCCTCAGTTTTTCTCTGCTCCCTGTTTTTTATTGGTGTTCTTTTAATATTTTTTATTTTAAAAATATATATAAAAATATTTATTCTAAAAATATAATTTATAATTTACTCACTGATATAATTTGATAAATTAATATAATAAAAGTATTAATGGTACATATATAACGTTAATGGTATGTCTTGTATTATGTCTAGTTTCAAGAATAATATTTTGTGTCCATTGTAATGATTGTTAATTATTGATATATTTTGAATTATATAATGACATTATACAAAAAAAAAATTTAATTTGAACTTGACTCGCAAAAGCAAATGTATATTTCAGTTGTATAACATGCTTATACATTACATTTATAATAATAATTATAATATTAATATATTGTTTTGGCTTGCAATTAAAAAAAACTTGTCTGTATCATAAAATAATAAAGATGTATGTGTCGAAGTTGCCCGACATAACATTAGAGATAAATAGCAAAGACCATACAGTATATACGCACCAAAAACAAACCTTGCACATATTTCAGATATCAAAAGAACATTTTTTGTAGTTTTATATCTCAATCTATTATTATTTTAATGTATTACTTTGAATAAAAATTATCTAAATTATATTGGCTTTTATAAATTTCTGTTATAATGTTATAAACAGCCAAAGTCTTTGAATCATACAAAATATTAAGGCACTCATGTACACATATAGATGCACCCTTAATTATAATAATATAATTAACTTACTCTTGACTTCAAACCCCTGATGTGTAGTTTTAATTTTTCTGCAGGAAGCTGCTTATTATCTTAATCTATTCTATAATTGTCACTCATTTTTTCTTTATTATTATTATTGTAATGTAAAAAGCAAGCAACTTGTTCAGGTAAACGAGCTTAGCGTAGTAAGAGAGAGATGGGATCGCATGGAGACATATCACCACATCACCACCTAGTAGCTGGTTTGACCCAACGTATTAGATGTTTGACATCAAAAATTGATTAAATATTTTTAAGGTTTATGCCTTATGCCATATAAATATACCAATATTATTTTTTAATGAAACCATACATATTTTATTACTAGCCTAAATTTTAGAAAATTATTAAACTAAAAAAATGAAAATTTGATAAGATCCAGTATTTCAGAAGTTATAAATATTTTTATACCTATGGGTTTATATATATATATATTTATGAAATTATAATTTTGATATAGATATCAAAGTATACGTAGAACAATATCGCAAGATACAGATTTTATTTCATTAACAAGAGCTGATTCCTTGCGTTCAGATACATTAAAAAATAAATTTAGGGATCATGGAAATGTAGCACTACATTTTATTAGTAAGAAAGAATTTCCAACATTGTTACAACAAAATCAGGTTAAATATAAACTACATATTTATTTAAAGATGTTTTTAATAAATTTAGTTTATTATTTTTAGAAAGCACTAGCATTATATAATAGTTCATCAATTTTAAAATACGTAGTGCCTAAAGTACGAAATCATCCTTCATTATTTCAACGATATCAAAGCCATAGTGATTTGGTTAGTTTACTCAATTTATTTGCAAATACTAGAGCTGCTCTTCCTAAAGGATGGACTTCTAAAATTGATGCTGCTGGCAAGGTTATTATTAACTAGTGAAATTTATTTTTTATTTTTAATTTTTTAATTTCTGCATAGGTGTTTTTTACAAATCAAGGCACAAAAATAACAACATTTATTGATCCAAGATTACCCATAAATGATAATTATATATCACTTCCATCTACATCTCAAGAACCACCAATACCACCTCCTCGTCCAACTATTACACATAATGATAATATGCTTACTGACTCTATAGATATACCTACTGCTTATAATGAAAAAGTTGTAGCATTTATTCGGCAACCTAATATATTAGAAATTTTAACTGAGAGGTATCCTCAACTCTCTACTGATCAAAACTTAAAAGATAAAATCAATCATATCAGAATTGATGGAATTTCTGCATTAGACACCTTTGGAAATGAACTAGAACTTACAATTTTATTGAGGTAACATAACAATATTATTGTGACTATTAAGGTTTTATGGTCTAATTAAAATTTTAGTTTGTTTGAAAATGAAATTATGAGTTATGTACCTATAAGGACAAGAGACACCAAGTTATCTCCTCATCAATCACCTATATTGAATAAAGCAAATAGAACTGTTCCCCCGTTTAAAAGGGACTTTGAAGCTAAACTTAGAAATTTTTATAAAAAATTAGAATCTAAAAGTTACGGTCAAGGTCCAGGAAGACTCAAGTAAATATATTTTATCTTTATACATATTTTATAATATAATAAGAGTAAATAGTCAGAATTTTTTTTATATAAAAAAAAAGTAAAATGTTCAAGTCTTAAAAAACTATAACTAAATACGTTGTTATTATGCCAAAACAATCCTAGTTATTGTTGTTGGCTATTGCTACTATGTATGATTGGATTAGTCTTCATTATCTTACTTTTTTAATATTTAGACAATATTTATTTTTATTAGAATGCTTACAAAATAGAGTAATATACGTTGAAGAAAAATTTTCATTAAATTTTCCGTTCACATTTAACAAAATTAGATAAAAAAAGAAAGAATGTTATTATTTGGCTAATGATAAAAACTCTACCAACAAAAAAATACTGTTATAATATAATAAAATAGTAATTAGTTATCCTACAAGTTGGTAAATATTGAATTTTAAAACAAAACTATTATTCTTATGACAAGTTGATTGTACCATACTTTTGATGTATCCTTTTAAAAATATTAAAATAAACATTTTAATTTTGTAAAACACACTTAGATGTGCATATTATTTATATAAAATTATTATTCTTACGTACATTTATTAAATATTCCCTTATGAAATACTTTAATATATATAAATATATCAGTATTTCAGAAGTTATAAATATTGATTGGTATCAGTACTAATATTTTTATTACTAATTATTTCTCGGCCTTGCTCCTAATCCCTCCTAGTTATAAAAATGTTAAATAACTTCTTAAATACTTGTCCAAATGTTGTTATTAACTAGTAATTTTCTTAGTTCATTGACTATTTTTTAAGTTAGTTAAATAACTATGTTTCCATTAAACAAAATTAAGTTATTATCTTTATAAAACATAAGGGATAAAAAAATATATTCACAATAAAATTATTATTTTATAGAAATTAAGTGGCTAGTGTAAAAGAATCACTGTAGATAATTTTCTTATTTAAAAAATAATCATATTTATACAATAAATTCTCTTAGATTAAAATATTACTAAATATACAAATAGTTGAAATTGATTTACACAATATAATGTTTGTTGAAACTTTGAACAATTAACTCATAGTAAAAATTAAAAAAAGAATATATTTCTGATTTCTTATCATTAATTTTTTTTTTTTTTCAGAATTGATGTACGACGAGATCATCTTCTTCAAGATGCATACAACAAAATTATGAGTGTGCCTAAAAAAGATTTGCAAAAATGTAAACTTTCTGCACAATTTGATAATGAAGAAGGACTTGATTATGGAGGTCCATCTAGGGAGTTTTTTTTTCTTATATCAAGAGAGTTATTCAATCCTTATTATGGTTTATTTGAATATTCTGCCAATGATACTTATACTGTTCAAATATCGCCTATGTCGGCAGCATTTGTTAACAATAAAGAAGACTGGTTTAGATTTAGTGGACGAGTTTTAGGTTTAGCATTAGTCCATCAATATCTTTTAGATGTTTTTTTCACTCGTCCATTTTATAAAACTCTTTTAAAACTGTAAGATTGTATTTTTAAGCAAAATAAGAAACAATGTTATTAAATTATATGGGAATTATTTTTAGACCAATGAGTTTGAGTGACTTAGAATCTGTTGACCGTGAATTCCATCAGTCATTATGTTGGATAAAAGAACGAGATATATCTGGAGAAATGTTAGATTTAACATTTTCAGTGACTGAAGAAGTATTTGGCCAAAACATTGAAAAAGATCTAAAACCTGGTGGTCAACGTATATTTGTTACAGAGAAAAATAAAAAGGTATTCCATTTTTTATCTTTAAGCATTCATTTTATTGAATATTTAAAATCATATTATGTAATTAGGAATATATAGACAAAATAGTTAAATGGAGATTAGAACGTGGTGTTACTGAACAAACTGAAGCTTTAGTTCAAGGATTTTATGAAGTTGTTGATCCAAAGTTAGTGTCAGTTTTTGATGCACAAGAGCTAGAACTAGTCATTGCTGGAACAGTTGAAATTGATTTAAATGACTGGAGAATAAATACAGAGTACAGATCAGGTATATAACTTTATATTTATTTGTACCATATTTTTGTATATCCTTTATAATTTATTCAAAATGTATTTAATTGTATGAATACAGGAACACTTAAAATGTCATGGGAAATATTAATCTCCTGAATCCTTTTTTCTTGCTACAATAAAAAAAAATAACTAAAAGGTCACACAACTTAAATACATTAAGTTGTTAAAAAAATTCATCCCTCCCTTCAATTTTAGTTGAGAATGTATTGATTTTATGTTTTTTTATTTGTTTACAAAAATTCTTAGCTCTCGCTGAATGAACAAATTCTATTGACCAGTATGTCAAAAAACCCGATTTTAATCTAATTGAAATCTATCAACACCAAAAAGTTGAAAAATTATAAAATTAAAAAAAAGTTATAATAGTGATATTAATCACTGTTACATTTAATCTGTACTTCTACATCCCAACTTAATCATGTCCTCACTGGGGTTTTTATTACTATTATTTTAGAAACTAAAGATAATTTTTTTTTGTGTCTACAAAAAACTTATTTGATTAAAAAATCTCTACAATATTGTATAATTTAATTATTTTATTATAATCTTTTAAGTGATAAAAATCTTTTAATTTAGTTTTCTTATATGGGAACTCCTAAACTCAATAATGGTGGTTCTCATAGATTCCTAATTTCATCTACTAGGAACTAATATTTTCTTTTTATTTAAATGTGAAATTAATCAAAAATTTCACTCATTTCTATAAATTGAACGAAAAAAAAAAATTTGATTTAATATTTATGATTTTAAAATTTCTTTACTTGATATAATTATTAAATGGTTTATAATTGTAATAATAAAAATGTATATTCTCATACAGTTTTTATTTATTTTACTTAGGTTATCATGATTCTCATCCAGTCATTAAATGGTTTTGGTTCTCAATAGAACAATTCACTAATGAGCAGAGATTAAGGCTTTTGCAGTTTGTAACTGGAACTTCAAGTATACCTTATGAAGGATTTTCAGCATTGCGAGGTTCTACTGGACCTAGAAAATTTTGTATTGAAAAATGGGGTAAAACCAACAGTCTACCAAGGTAAATATGTATTCCTAGAGATATGATTCATATCTCTAAAACATAAGACAGAGTTAATTTTTTTTATAATATTGAGATTTTATTATTTTTATTAATTTGCTGATAATATAATATTTAAAAACGATTTGTACTTATAATATGAAAAATTGATTGATGAATAATTACTAACTGACTAGTTTGAACTAAGATCATTAAATTTTTTTGATTAAATATTGAATTATATGTATGAGTGGGTATGTAATATAGTTAGAATGTTATATATATATAATCACACAATGTATCATTTTAAATATTACTTTTTAAATTATTAAAAAATTAGAAGAAATTACATTTTTCATATCATGAAGTGTCTACCCCTTTTCGGCACGTAAATGGGATTGACTTAGAATACTCAAACTTAAACAAATTTTTTTATTTATCGTATAACACAAAGTTTGAGCACCCGATATCAAATTTTGAAAGATAAGTACCATCTAAATGGTCAATGGTAAGGTAACATGGAAGGACGGTGTACTCTTAAGGAAAGACTAATACTGTAAGGTTTTTAGTTAAAGCATAACAAAAAATATTTATATATCTATCAAGTATAAAGAAAATAATGTATATTAATTTCTTTTCATTTAATTATTTCAATTAAATATATTTTATTAGTTCAATCAAAGTATGAATTTTTGGAGAACTGAGTAATTGATCAACTCAAAAATAATTAGTTGTTTGACCTAGGATAGAGAAAAATGATGATAATCCTCTTAAATCTTTACTTGTATTATAATTTTTTAACAATTTTCACTTCTAATTCAATTCTAATAAAATGTGAGATATTTTATTTTATATATTAGTGTTATAAATATACATGAATCTCACAAATAATAATAGTTACAAGCATTCGATAAATATATAAAATGGGTGTATATAGCTCATATTCATATTTATTTTCTCCGTGTATATAATACTCTAACACAATAATACATATCAACTCTGTTCTAAAATGTACATAACTCAATAAGTAATTGTACAAAAAATGTTATTGATCCATTAATCATTTTTGTTTTAACGAAAATGAATTGACATACAGATTAAAAAAAAAAAAAAAAAAACTTTGTCTTTCATTCATACTTTTCCATTTTTGATTTTTTAACATAAAATAATATATTTTATTAAAATAATAAATTTTTGTAATTTTAGAGGACAATCTTATATACTTTTTTATACTTATTACTTAATGTTATTTTTATTTTATTTTAGAGCACATACATGTTTCAATCGCCTTGACTTACCACCATACACAACTCAAGATATACTTAGTGAAAAAATTTTACTGGCAGTAGATGAAAGTAATACATTTGGAATGGAATAGTCTTGGTTTTTATTTCATTTTACAATGAAGTTTAGTCTAAAATTCGTAGCAATACGTAATAGACCACACATTTATTATTGAATATTTTTAAGACTTTTTGTTATTTTTTATTTAAAAACTTTAGGAAGTGAAAATTATATTATTGTACATTATTTATAATTATATAAACAAATTATTTATTTACTATTAAAATTTTTTTATTTAACATATGCCCCGAATTATATTTTAGTGCTTGCCCATGTAAATATATACAATTAGGCATATTAAATTGAATCTATCCATTTTTTCTTATAAATATATAGAAAAAAGATTTGATGAGTTGTTCTTATAAGGAAGAATAACGGCTAGTAGAATCCAAGGAATAACATCGGCAAACACAATCAGCAACTGGACATTCTAAATGATTTCTATAAAAATATATCAAATAATTATTACATTAAATATGAAATATAACACATATAATAAAAATTATTCATTACTGGAGCCCGTTTCATAAAAAAATAAGTGGAATTTCATCATTGGTAAACTAGTAAATTTCATACAATTTTTAAATTTTTGTTTTATATATAATATAATATATATATATATATAAATAATTTAATTTAATTTATAATATACAAATTGACCTAAGTTAATAAAAAAAACCTAGAAATTATTTTAAACTTTTTTATGTTCTATAAACAACTATGATTTATAAATTGAAAATATGACAAAAATTTGACTAGTTCCTGAAGTATAGTTTTTTTAAGTGGCAATTGTTATTAATATATTTTTTTTTATTCATTTGTAGTAGTTATTTATATAGTGTAATAATAAATGTGACAAAAGCAATAAATGAGGTACTTTTTGCACAATTGGTTTAATGGCCTTATGATACAGTAACTATTGTTCAATATTTCCATTATATAGTTTCAACATCTTTAGTCGTAGGTTGTGTTGATGGAACTTAAATTAAAATTGGCGCACCATTGATAAATGAATCGGTGTTCATGTCAACCATTTTGTTACATGTATATGCAAATTGGCCAGGCTCAATACATGATGTTGGAGTCTTACTATTTTACTAATTCACTATGGGTTTAAATAGAATCAGGTTGAAGACCAATTGAAAATTATATTATACTTAGTGATGGTGCATATCTTTTAGGATATTGGCTTATACCACCTACCATAAGAAACTCAAATGATGTAACAGAACTGTCATTTGTTTAAAGTGATAAAGAAACAAGACAAATAATTGAACATATGTATGGAATTTTAAAAGAAAAGTTTCGACGCTTAAATTATATGAGACTTGAATCAGAATTAACCTGCAATATATTTCAAGTATGCACTGCCTTATGTAATTTATCTAGGGACAACAATGAAGATATTATGTTGGGAGAATATGAAAATAACAGTTTTCTTAAATTTTATCGTTGTGTAGAAGTTCTATCTACAATAGACCGAAATTATACAATACTCATCAGGCTTGTAAAAATAAACAGCTAACTTGTGAATCGCTATTAAAATGACAAGTCATTTTTGACTGAAGTACTTCTTTATGAAACAACGTCGAACTGGACTTATTAGTTTGTATATGTTACTTTTTTTTTTATGAAAGAGGCTCCTGGTGGTTGATATTATTTAAAATTAAAAAAGTAAAACTACAAGGTTGGTAAAAAAAAGACCAACAGGAACCACTAAAAAGGTCTTTGAATGCCTAACAAGACTAATCGCCAATTACCAAGGATTTGGGCTACTGCAACGTCGCCTTCTATCTAATATCTTGACGCCTGAGGATCATGCCAGATACCACGTCGTCGACGTCAAAAAAAGTGCTAGCGTCTTCAAGACTTTAATTAATTGTGTTGATCTTTTCAGTACTTAATCATTAATAATTGGCCCACAGATCTCTACCAATTAAAACCATTATCGACTACATTATTGCGACTTCAGTTATATCATGCTTTGGTAAGTACCTACTTAAGATCGACAAAGCTCTAGACCACCAATAATGCAAACATTTCTCAGTACAAATGACGCCGTGCACACCCTATTGAAATACATCTCATGGAGCATGGAAAGATTGCTGTTGACAAGAGAATTAGGTCAGCTAGACATATCGAAACTAGTACAGAAAATGTTGATTAATTGCGAGAGCTGGAGCTCCATTAGGCGATTCAGCAACAAAATAATGACGAAGGAAGAAACCTAGCAAAGCAGACAGGTCATTAAGGGTGGAAGAAGTTATGTTGTGTGTAAGCTAAAAGTCAACTGTCACTATTTGAAGATCCTGTTGGGTAATTTGAACCATACTCATTACTATCCTCCAAACATTACACTGTCATTGTAGTGTGATTTTATCATTTATTTTCTTCAAGGCTGCACATTAACACCCTAAATGCACCTGAACTTGTGTATGTTATTCCTCTATGTTTCAAAATAAAATTTTCTCCCTACTTTTAAGTTAAAAAACGGTAACACAGTAGGGTCGCGTCACAGTATGGACGTGGCATAGTTGGAACAAGTATAGATGATATCTGACAGTGATTAAAATCACTATCATAAGATACGCTTCAACGAAAATCTTTAGATAGTGTTTACTTTTAAAAAATTGGTGAATTATTCTAAAGGCTACATGATCTGTTATTTCCTTATTTATATCCTGATTAAGATAAAGTATGTCGAATGAAAAAGGAATATAAATATTATTTCTCATAAAAGAAATTGGTAGATTATTTCAAAAACAACAATAACTCTTATTCCCTTAATTTTATCCCGATTAGTTATTTGATTTATAATTATTATAAATGAATAAATAATAATTTTACTAATTAAATTGATATTCAATAACTTATTATTGTAATTTTTACTGAGATATTATAAAAGTAATAAAGTAGTTGTATATTTCTTTACTTTTAACGCGTATAAAAATTTAAAGGGCTTGACGCAATACTTTTCAATAAAAAATGTTTGTTACTTATAATAAAGTTATAAGTTTTATACACTGGACTACAAGGAACTTTCATCAAAAACAAAAATATACTTTTTTAAATCTTTAAAAATATACTTTTTAAATCAACTTTTCGCGCTGTTTTCAAATATGCAATTAAACCTTTTCTATCACTTCTAAGTTTTAATAATATTACTTATTATTAAAAAATAAGTATTTACATATAACAAAAAAATAATTAAGAACAAAAAAAAATTGTTTTAAATTAATACTGATCTTGATTATTAATATGTTAAACATAAGGAAAATGACATATTTAACCTAATTTGTTAATCCTTTAAAGTTGATTTTTGTGAAAGTTTATGGTAAAAAAAAATTAATTTATTACGATAACTTTTAGCTTTATTTACAAGTTTAAAATTGACATCATTAAATAAAAAATTTTATGTGAATTAAAAAAATTATATCGTTAAGATTAATATGCAGTCAGGAAATTTTATAATTACTATTTATAGTAAATTTATCAGAAAAGCTCAATAGTTTTTTACATTTTTATCGTAATAGATAACTGAAATAGAAATAATAGTAATTATTTCCAAGTAACTTTTGGTGTTTAAAAAGATTCTAATTGAAATATTCAGAACTTAATTAATTTTAATGATTTACTTTAACTAAAAGAACCAATCAAAACAAAGTTATTAAAAAGATTTACTCAATAGAGCGTATTCTAAAATTTGATTATAATTGTAAAAATCCATTGTTAAATCAAGAGAAACTAACAATAATTTTTTTTAGATATTATTTATACAGCAACACATTACCAAAAAATTTGGAATATTATAGTCTAGTAGTAGTACACACAAATAGAGTAAAAAAATTATTTAATTACAAAGTAAAATGATTTAATTTTGTAGATATAAAATTATCATATCAAACTTGATTCGTCAATAAATACTTTGAAAACATTAGAAATTAATTAGAAATAGAATGACGGTAATCATTTTTACCATGAAGACAAATCTAGAGGTCAATTTTTTTTTAAAAATTAAATTGAATATGTCCTAGTTTTAATACGCATGTTTAAAGTTTTGACCCCCCTTGTATAAAGGGATATAATCCTATTTAAAAAAAAAATTGTGTCAGATGAAAGAGGTAACTTTGATGTCCGTTTTCACCATGAAGATAAGTCCAGAGGTCAAATTTTTTTTTTCAAATTAAAGTATATTACATAAGCTTTAAGTTAAGGTATATATAAAAGTGTCAGTCTTTCCGGAACAATTTCAATAGTTAATTTTTTGTGAAAAAGTTGCCATTTTGAAACCCTTCCTGTGGGCTGGTTAGGTTTTAAATGTTCACAAAAATATATCAAAAGATAGGCAAAGACATTATGCATCTATAAAAAAAGAAATCTATATTGATTTGTTCATTTTTGAAAAAGTTATGGCAGTTTTAAGTAAAAAAAATTGAAAAAATGTCGAAAATTAGCGATTTGCAAATTTGTAATTTTTGGGGGGATTTCTCCCATTTACGGGGAACGAGAGAAATTTTTTCAATTTTTGAGGGTAATGTCTTCGACTAGATAAGATTTGTGATATTTTGACGTATTGTTCATCAAAATCGGTCCAGCGAGAGCTAAGATTGAGCATTCACAGACACAAAAAAAAAAAAAATAAAATAAAAAAACACATCATTGTAAAAGTAATACCTTCTCAGATTCGCATCGAAGCTAAAATAAAATTTTGTTTCTACTTTATTTTTCAAATGATTACCACTCTCTATTCAACAATTTTAACAGTGTTAATAATAATAATAAAATAGTATACCTGAACCAATCAGTAATATGATTTGAATGACCACCATGGTTACAGGTTGGACACCAAGAAAACCAATATGAAAAATTATTTACTCCTTGTCCTGTCATCATGTAAGAGCTGTTTGACAACTGTTTGTTAGAATTTTTTCGTATTGGAATTTTAGCACTAGCAGTTCCTAGATGTGCTAAACACAATGCACACCGAGGTAATGGACTTTGACAATTAGGACATGCTGTAAACTAAATATAATGATAAATAATAGTTAAATTTCTATTTAAAAGTAATACTTTTAAATTATTGGATCCATTTTCAATGCCTTGATCTTTTATTCTTTGAACTTTTACTTCCTTTTCCGAATCTTTTTCTCTTTCATCAGCAGTCGGGCAAATATTTTTACCACAATAATTACATGATAGAAATACATTCTGTGGAGGAGGTTTTACAGCTTTTAGAGCTATGTCAAATTTGGCTCTAATATGCCACATACGCCATTCATCTAACATTTCTCTATAACTTATCAGTAAAATTGCAATAATAATTAAATATTTTAGAGTTTAAATTGTTTTAACATTTTTACTACAAGAATAAAATTTACCTGTTTATCCAATTCATCATATTAGGATGTTCATGGACAATATCACAGGGGATTGTTTTTAAAACTAAAATACTAACAGTCTGTATATCACCTGTATTATCCAAATATCTTTGTAATAAAGGAACTATTTCAGGAGATGATCCTTATTTAAATTTAATTGTGAACAAAAAAAAAAGTAGAATTAGTTAAAAATTATTTAACAGATTTGTGATTAACATTAATACCTATTAAAAATATAGCAGATAAATTGCCTTGATCCAATAATTTTTCAGTTATATTGTTTATATATTCAATTAACTTTGTGTCAGATAAAAAAATACAAGCAAATGCAATTCTGTCTTCTAATGGTATACCAATTTCATTCTTAAAAATTATAATTAATTATATTAATTATGAATGGTTAAGATATGACATGGCAAAGTGATCTAAGTGCCAAAAATCTAAAAACAAATTATATTATACAAAAATAATCTCTTTACTCACATCAATACTATGAAAAGTAATTCAACTTCAATAAATATTTATAAACTATAGAAAAAAGTATTCAAGGATAAAGTTATCAATAGCTTCTTATGGCAAAGTACAAAGTTTTTTTTATTTTCCTAACTTAATGTAACATTAAAACATATATTTTCACCATTAATGGAATAAGATCATTTATTCAGGGTACCCAAAAATGACATGTCGAGATGATAATTTATGTTTCGCCATACATAATCGCTAGGAATTGTTTGAAATATTTTAAGTATAATACATTTTTTAATGAGATCTTGCAATACAGAATATTAGGTTTTTAATTAAATGGTTAGCATACAAATAGAACTTACTACATTTTTCAAATAAGCCATCAATGTAATTTAAATTCTCATATTTTAGGAATTAAAACACAAACACTAATTATACAGAGCATATCAGAGTAAATGATACAAAAATAATAGAGAATTATTAATGGCTATTCATCCAAGACACTCAAAATTCATTAGACAAAATCAACGAAAAAAAAAAAAATATGACATACACAGAAATAATTCAAGAATCACTATCACTATAGAGGTTTACAACTTTTTTACCACCTGGTTACATAACTATATGTGTACAGTGTCAATTTTGTCACTTTCATATCACAGATAATACTATTGTTGAGATTCTATAAGAAGTAAAATCTGTGAATTGGACAAAATTTGATATTCAAAAATTTTGATAGATAATACTTTCTTGAAGAGATGTAGGAAAAAAATTACTCATATAATGTTTTTATCTTAAATTTAATTAATATATGTACTAATTAAGGTTACTTAGCCTTTTTGGTGTCTCAATTTTTTTTTATTTGAGCACTTATATGCAATATATGAAAGCAATTATATGCATTTATACATTTTGTTAAGCTATTCTGAGCATATCACTAGTCAGATGAAGACCTATATGGGCGTGAAACCTTAAAATAAAAAATATCACTACCATAAAAAAATAAAAGGAAAAAAAAAAAAACTGTATGTCATTAATCATGACAGGCTAGTAAATTTGTGATTGGGCCTTTGGGCATTCACCCACCTATTGTTCAGACCTACCTGCCTGTATTAATTTTAATTAAAAACTAAGAAATAAATTGTAACAGAAGATATAGTTTTAGGGTTTCACTCTACAGCAAAATCATTATTTTTTGCTTAAATATAAACTTGCAATAATTTATTATGAACTTATATCTCTTTACATTAACTAAAACAAAAATTATTAATGTATATAAATCTGTAATCTAGTTATTATAAAACGATATATTAATTTGTACCCAAAAAAAAATTATTAATATATATGTATTACCAAAACTGCATCATGTGAATCCGAATCAGTAGTCAAAAAAGCAAAAGCTGCTCGTAAATAAGGATCAGTTAACTTTTCCCTAGTTTTTGAGCACAGTTCTCGCCACATACTATATTTATCTGGGCTATAACCTTCAAAAAAAAAAAAAAATGAATTTGTTACCATAGCTTTTAGTTCACTTGTAAGTTTTAAATTGACATTATTAAATAAAAAAAACCCAGCACAGTGGGGTCGTGGCATAGTTGGGTCAGTATAGATGATATCTGATAGTGATTAAAATCACTATCATAAAAAACGCTTCGATGCAAATCTGTAGATAGTGTTTAATTTAAAAAAAAAAATTTGTCAAAAAAGTAGGTCTTATGAGAGCTGAGAAAATAAATGATAACTACAAAAAGAAAACCACATAGTAAAATAATATTAATATGAATTTCTTCTCACGAGAGGAGACTACAGTAATGGAATCCTTGATATTTATTGAAGTTATTGAATCTAAATGAGATAAAAATCAAATGATTTGAAAATTTTATTCTAACTCAAAAAAAATGCAAAATTTTATTGGCCACAGACGGATTTGAACCTCGTATCCTAGGCATGTAAAACACAAGTGTTAACGACTAGGCAACTGTTCGTAGCTTTCGTGACATGAAAAAATTGGCTAAACATTTTTTTTTAACTCAAAAAGAATTAATAAAAATTCAGTGCCACAGTCGTGAAAGACCCAAGTGTTACCGTCTCAAAAACCATACGTCTCATTTGTCACTTAATAAAAATGGAAAATTAGCTAGTTCAAATTTTAAAGTTATTTTTCTCACTTCAAAGAAACAAAAAAATTTAAATATGATTAATTTTTTATACTATGTCATTTAGATTGATATAATATTTATGAAAATCAGTGTAATCCCCTTATAATAAAATAAAATACAAAACCAAGAATTTTAATACAAAAATAGTATATTTTTGAAAACGGTAGCTATTTTCACCATGAAGACAAAATAAAGTCCGAAATTTTTTTTTTACATAATAAAGTAGATTATATTATCTTTAATTTAATATATATAGAAAAGTGTCAGACTTTCCGGAACACTTTCAAAAGTTAAGTTGAAAAAGTTCTACTTTCTATATGCATTTTTATGTTTTGAATCCCCCCTTGTATTAAGGGAAAAGGTCCGATTTAAAAAAAAGCATGTCGAATGAAAGAAGTATATAAATATTATTTCTTATAAAAAATTGTATTGATCCATACATTTTTCAAAAAGTTATAAAATTTTAAAATTAAAAATGTAAAATATAAAATCGAGAATTTTAACATAAAAATAGCATGCGGTAGCGATTTTCACAATTAAGACAAAATAAAGTCTGAAATTTTTTTTTATATAATAAATTATAATACATTTGCTTTAATTTAAGTTATGTATAAAAGTGTCTGTATTTCTGGAACACTTTCAAAAGTTAAGTTGAAAAAGTTGTCATTTTGAATCCCCCCCTGTGGGCTGGTAAAGGGTTAAATTTATAAAAAAATATACCAAATGATAGGAAAAGACATCAATCATCTATAAAAAAAAAAATTATATTGATATGTTCATTTTTGAAAAAGTTATGGCTGTTTTTAGTAAAAAATGTTGAAAAAAATTCGAAAATTAGTGATTTTTAAATTTGTAATTTTTTTGGAGATTTCCCCCATTTACCGGGAACGAGGGAAATTTTTTCAATTTTTGAAGGTAATGTCTTCGACTAAATACGATTTGTGATCTTTTGACGTATCGTTGAAAAAAATCGGTTCGATGAGAGCTGAGAAAAAGTGATAACAAAAAAAAAATCACATTATAGTATAATTAATACTTTCTTAGCTTCGTATAATTCGAATAATGATGGACCAGTAGAACGTTTCATTATTTTTATTCATGTTACAAGTCATACAAGTGCAAATCTTTCTTTGTGTTTACTTAACTTTTTGAAAGAAAAAAATATTATCATAGAAAATTGTCGTGGGCTATGACAACTCTAGCAACATGAGTGGGACTTATACTGGTATGCAAGCAGAAATAAAAAAGTGCAATTCATTTATTGATTATATTCCGTGGACATTCGCTGAATCTCGTTCCACAATCTGCTGTAGATTGTTGTATTGAAGCAGTTTCATTTTTCGGTTTTGTCCAATAAGTTTACAATTTTTTTTCCGCCTCTACCCAACGCTGGGATATTTAAAAAAAAACTTTAGTAAAAAATTGTCCACTTTCTAAATCCAAATCAGTTACTAGATGGAGTGCAAATGCTGAGGCTGTTAAAGCGATATTTATAAGTTACGAGAATATTAATGAAGCATTAAAAAAAATTCAAAATGATACATTTCAAAAATAATCAACTCGACACCAAGCTTCTTGTTTAAGCTCAGTATACGGTTATTTAGAAACTGTCATTATGTGTGAATTATGACATAATATTCTCGAACTATTTAATAAGTGTAGTAAAAGTATTCAAAGTGGTGTAATTGATTTGTACACTGCAATTAATTTAATTGAGTCTTAAAATTGTCCTTCAAAATATAAGAAACCAATATGATGAATATGAAAGTAATGGCATGAAAAGGGCTAAAAATGAAGACTATAAATTAAGACACACAAAAAAAAAATTATAAAAAATAAAAAAAAAAAACCCAGCACAGTGGGGTGGCGGCACAGTGAGGTCGTGGCATAGTTGGTCATGTATAGATGATCTCTGACAGTGATTAAAATCACTATCATAAAAAACGCATCGATACAAAATCTGTAGATAGTGTTTAATTAAAAAAAAAAATTTTGTTAAAATAGCATATTTTTGAATACGGTAGCCATTTGCGCATAGAAGATAGGTCGTCGGGACAATTTTTTTTTTTATTTTATAGTACATAAAATAAGCTTTAATTTGATATATGTTTAAAGGACGCAGTATTTCCGGAACATTTTCAAAAATTAAGTTGAAAAAGTTATTTTTTGTAAAAAAGTTACTATTTTAAATCCCCCCAGTGAGCAGAATAAGTGTTAGATTTTCAAAAAAAATTATATCAAATGAAAGGGAAATATCTAAGGTTTCAATACAAAAAAATATTATTTTTATTTGTTAATATTTGAAAAAGTTATGGCTGTTTTAAGTACAAAAAACATCGTTCTAGAAGGTGATTTTTATCGCAAATATTACATTTTTTTTTAAATTTCGACAGCAATTTGCACATAGTATATAAGGTGTCGGGACAAATTTTTTTTTTTATTTTATAGTACATAAAATAAGCTTTAATTTGATATATTTTTAAAGGACGCAGTATTTTCGGAACATTTTCAAAAATTAAGTTGAAAAAGTTAGGTTTTGTAAAAAAGTTGCTATTTTAAATCTGCCCCCATGAGCAGGTTAAGTGTTAGATTTTCAACAAAATGATATCAAACGAAAGGATAATATCTAAGGTTTTAGTATAAAAAGAAATTATGTTGATTTGTTGATTTTTGAAAAAGTTATGGACGTTTTAAGAAAAAAAAAGTGAAAAAAATGACAAAATTTACCGATTTTTAAATTTGTAATTTTTTTGGTTATTTCCCCCATTTACGGGGAACGAGGGGATTTTTTTCAATTTTTGAGGGTAATGTCTTCGACTAGATACGATTTGTGATCTCTTAACGTATTCTTGAAAGAAATCGGTCCAGTGAGAGCTGAGAAAAAGTGGCTACAGACATAAAAAAAAAAAAACACATCATAGTAAAATTAATACCTTCTCCGCTTCGCATCGAAACTAAAAAAAATCTTCAGTAAAATACTACAATTTTTTTTATACTTTTTAAAACACCATTTTAAACTTTTTATGCTCAAGCGTTTTTAATATTATTATTATTATTGAATATATTTTTGTATATTTGCATAACTACTGTTTTCATAATACACCTTTATAGCAAATGAATATTATTGATTGATCTTAAGTTACATAATTACTAAGATACTTAAGATAAAAAAACCCAGCACAGGGGGGTCGCGGCACAGTGGTGTCGTGGCATAGTTGGATCAAGTATAATGATATCTGACAGTGATTAAAATCACTATAAAAAAAAAACGCTTCGATGCAAATCTTTAGATAGTGTTTAATTTTAAAAAATTGGTGGATTATTCCAAAAGCTTCATAAACTGCTAGTTCCTTATTAATATCCTGATTAAGATAAAGTATGTCGAATGAAAAAGGGATTATTAAAAAATAGTATTTCCCATAAAAAAATTATATTGATCAATACACTTTTCAATAAGTTATAGCATTATAAAGTTAAAAATGTAAAAAATAAAATTGAGAATTTTCACACAATAATAGCATTTGGTAGCCATTTTCACCTTGAAGATAAAATAAAGTCCGAAATTTTTTTTTTCCATGATAAAGTATATTACATTAGCTTTAATTTAAGATATATATAAAAGTGTCAGACTTTCCGGAACACTTTCAAAATTTAAGTTGAAAAAGTCAATTTTTTGTGAAAAAGTTGTCATTTTGAATCCCCCCCTGTAGGCAGGTAAAAAGTCAGATTTATAAAAAAAATATACCAAATGATAGGTAAAGACATCATGCATCTACAAAAAAAAGAATTATATTGATCCATACATCTTTCGAGAAGTTATAGCATTATAAAGTTAAAAATATAAAAAAGAATTTTTTTACAAAAATCGTATTTTTTTTATTAAGTTTAATGTCTGTTTTCACCATGAAGATAAAATAAAGTCCGAAATTTTTTTTTACCATTATAAAGTATATTACATTAGCTTTAATTTAAGATATATATAAAAGTGTCAGACCTTCCGGAACACTTTCAAAAGTTACGTTGAAAAAGTTCTACTTTCTATATGCATTTTTATGTTTTGAATCCCCCCTGTATTTAGGGAAATGGTCCGATTTAAAAAAACAGTATGTCGAATGAAAGATCTATATAAATACTACTTCTCATAAAAAAATTGTAATGATCCATACATTTTTCAAAAAGTTATAGCATAATAAAGTTAAAAATGGAAAATACAAAATCGAAAATTTTCACACAAAAATAGCATTCGGTAGCCATTTTCACCCTGAAGATAAAACAAAGTCCGAAATTTTTTTTTTTCATAATAAAGTATATTACATTAGCTTTAATTTAAGATATATATAAAAGTGTCAGACCTTCCGGAACACTTTTAAAAGTTAAGTTGAAAAAATTAATTTTTTGTAAAAAAGTTGTCATTTTAAATCCCCCCCCTGTGGGCAGGTAAAAAGTCAGATTTATAAAATCTATGTTTATTTTTAAAAAAGTTACGGCAGTTTTTAGTAAAAAAATTTGAAAAAATTTCGAAAATTAGCCATTTTTAAATTTGTAATTTTTTTGGAGGTTTCCCCCATTTACGGGGAACGAGGGAAATTTTTTCAATTTTGAAGGGTAATGTCTTCGACTAGATACGATTTGTGATCTTTTGACGTATCATTGAAAGAAATCGGTTCGGTGAGAGCTGAGAAAAAGTGGTAACAGACATACAAAAAAAAAAAAAAACACATCTTAGTAAAACCAATACCTTCTCAGCTTCGCATCGAAGCTAAAAAACACATCATAGTAAAATTAATACCTTCTCANCTCAGCTTCGCATCGAAGCTAAAAAACACATCATAGTAAAATTAATATCTTCTCAGCTTCGCATCGAAGCTAAAGTATATTAGAATCTACAAAAACGTAATAGTTGAACTTTCTAATATTTTACAAAATCACCTGAATTATTGCTGCACTATATACATAATCAATAATCAATTTCAAAAAATTTTTGGTACTCATTCGCAAGTGTTTTAAAACATCAAGAAAAATGCCTTTATGAGTATGTTTCCAACTATGGTAGGAGTACCTGACATGTTGAGTGTTGTAGGAAAAATATTACTTCAGAATAAGCATAATAAAATTAAATGATTAAAATCAGTAAAATTTAAAAAGAAAAATTGTAAAACTTATTGAGTATAAGGTTAATGACATTTATTGATTGAGGTTTAAATTTTGAAATATTTAAATTTTAACACAATGGTATTTACAATATCAATAAAATTATGTAATGAAACAATATTATTTTATTTACAATAGTTTCAATGGGACTAAACTATTTATAATTTATATCTCCTGAAAAAATATTTAAACTTAACTAATACCAATTTTAATCTTATACCCACATATACTTATTTATAACAATGCTTGAATAAAAAATATTTAATTCATTCAATATTTATAATAATAAATTTAATTAAATTAAACATATTAGTCTTTAAATATATATATTTATTTTTACGACAAATAGCTCTTAAAAATAAATACCTGATAGAGCCATTGCAATCATGCTTAGATGAGGTAACTGATTAGCTCCTTTATTTAATGTTTCAATAGCATCACGCATACGTAAATTGAATATTGCTATTGAAGCTGCTCTTGTGTAAGAATTTTCATTTTCTAATTTTCTTAATAAATTAGATATATGAGACACATTGTTACGGTCAAAGCCCCAATCACACAAATATAGGGCATGATCTCTAGCTAAACTTCTATATAAGTTTTACAATAGGATTAATTAATAACATAAAATAAAAAATATATTTTAAATATTAATTTAAAACTAAAAAATCACATTCATAAAAAAATCATAATTTGGGAATAATGTTGATGTTACAATCATCAGTGTTAATCATAACTATATGTACTGTATAAAAGAATTGATGATGGTATCAATGTTTCCAAAATACAAATACAAAATTTTTTAGTTTTGTTTGTGACTTTTTGAGTTAAATATTTTTGGTTTAAATTTGAAATATTAGCCAAAAGTGATAAATTCTTTATTTTATTATTGATAGTAAAATAAAGAAGTAATCAGGTTTGTTTTATAAGTGAGGAGAAAAATAAAAATTTGTATAAGTTTTATATTTTTTCTATTAGTATAATCTATAGCTATCATTTAAACTTTTGACTTGGAGATGTAAGTTTAAATGTATTTAATTTACAAGTGTGTTTATATTTTTCGAATTTTAAAAAAAAAGTTGAGTAAACTAATGTCGCTCAATAATACATCAAAGGAATAATCAAAATTTTTTCTTTCTCTCCTTTGCTGATAAAAATCTTATTGTTAAAAAGAAATAGAAAAGAAGTGCTTATGACATCAGAGTATCAACTGTTTTTTGTTAAAAAATAAATCATTCTTGTTTCAATAGTACAAAAAAACTACAATAAAATAATCATCAATTACTCCATACACTAATTAATTTTATTAAAAAAGTACACAAACTATTTAAAAAAAATACATCATATCTGACTTGTTCAGTGTCATGTCTGACAGATGGACACATATTGACTTTTTTAATATTGATATCAAAATATTTTATAATTAATAGTACCATAACATTTGTGTTATGTATTTCTACCATTTTAGTATACAAACTATCATTTACTTTTCGTACAATAGTAATGTATAACATTTATAAAATATAAAATTAACTATTGTAAAGAAGTTAGTATCCAGATGTCTTAAAGCTTTTTAATCCTTCCTTTCCATATATGAATTTAAATTAAATTTATAGGAGTGTTATTAATTTAAGTATTTTAAAGTTTATAATTTTTAGAAAAACATAATTTTAACCAACTAATCTAGAATGAAATATTTAAAAAAGTCGATTTAAAAATTAATTTTCATAACTACCGATAGGTTTTCACAGTTCCTTGGATGTCAACCCATTGCACATGTTTTAATTCAGACTTTAATATTGTTGTTGTAGATTCTAAACCCAAAACAGTTCTGAAAAAATACAACAAATTTTCACGTAGAAACACATTTTTTTCAGTTTAATTTAAAGTAAAAACTTACTTTATACCAGGAAATGGTATATCTGAAGTTGTGGGAACAAGACCAGTTTTAGTAACTCTTCTGTTTAAATCTAACCAAGACCAAACATTTTTTATGATAGGATCATCAACAAGTTTAGCATTTTCAACAAAATCCTGCACATTTTAAAGTAAGTTTATCATAAAAATGACATGAAGCTTTAAGTGCTAAAAAATATCAAAATTTGCTCATAATAATGGTACAAAAATTGAAATATTTTCTAAAAATAAATATATTGAGTAATAATACACACAAATTGATAAAAAAATGTTACATACAGGATTCATAAGTGTTATGTAAAAGTAAAAATAATAAACTCAGCAACAGAATAAGGTTCAGACTAATAGGAGAGCCAGACACACCAAATTTTATATTAGAAAAAAATTACTTTTTTGCTAATCGTCTCATTATTTGATAAAATAATTAAGGCCTTTAGTAAATATCAATATTAAAATGGCCTAACGTTATAACTATAATATAGGGTCATCTAAGATTAACAATTTTATTACAAGAGAATTTAAGATTACACCTTCCAAAATTGTTGAAAAATTGGGAAAAAGAATTCCAACAAATTTTGGTCAAAATTAATTATAGGCCAGTCAACAAAGGAAAAATGGTGGAAAAAATTCCCAACCAAATTTTTTTTTTTTTTAAAGTTGAATTAAGATATGTATAATGACATACTAAAAGTCCTTATCGATTGGACTTGAGCTTTTTTTTACAGCCTCTCTAAAGTTCAAAAATATGAGCTTTTTTTATTTTCTCAACAAATATTTAACTCACAAAAAAAAGTTTCGTACAAAAGTTGTTTAAAAGACAATTTTAAACAAAAAAATTATCTAATATTTTTTCATTTAAACAAATATTTTTCGAGTTACATTACATTTAATATGAGTACTAAAATTTATTTTCCAATTTTTTTCATTTTACGGTTACTTTTTATCATGTTATACTTACATTAGACACAATGTTATAAATGCATATGTGTGAGTTTATTTATTTATTGTATCATTAAAGTGTAGTGTATATTAATATACAAGCGATAGAGTAGGAAATTGATGCTATATTGTTTAAACCCAACTAAACGCTAAATTGTACATTCCGAAACAACAATCATATTATGTCAATTGCCACCGGAATTTCTTGTAATATTTTTCTTTTTCTTTGCCTTAATCCCAACTACTTGGGGTCGGCCACCCTTATCTTAAGCTTCCACTTGACACGATCTCCCACATCTTCTACACTCACATCAGCTGTCCTCAAATCGCATTCAATAGCATCCCTCCATCTCTTTTTTGGTCTTCCTCTATCTCTTCTTCCTTCAACATTCATTTCTATAACTGTTCTTACAGCTTTNTTTTTGGTCTTCCTCTACCTCTTCTTTCTTCAACTTAAAAAAAAAAAATTTGGTTGGGAATTTTTTCCGCCATTTGTCAAAATTATTCCTTCGTTGACTGACCTATCAACTGTAAGAGGGTTAAAAATTTTAACCAAAGAGTAGTTTTTTGTATTTATCTTGAAAAATAAACACTCATATGGTAAAATTGAATAACACTAAATTTGTTGATCTTGATATTTTCTATAAACAGAGCAATTACATTTTTAAATATAATAAATACATTTTAATATTTAATATTCTCTAAAATTAAAAAAGGTATTTGTTTTTAATTTTTACAGTATTATTATATTATATTTGTAATGTCAAAATATCTTACAAACTGGGTCTATTACAATACATTGTTTCAAATATATTACTAGATATTAGTTTCTATAATAATTTTTGCAACACTTTTGAGATATTTAAAGTTTAACAGAAGATAATGTTAATTTTCCTGATTTGTATAAAATTACAAAAGAATTAAATATAAAAATATTATTTTGAACATTTAAAAATTATTTAATGAAAAAAACAATTTAGAATTATAACTTTATTATTATCAATGGTTATACATTTATTGAGAATAAGAATGAGGACAAAAAGAATAATTTCTTTCGGAAGAAAAACATATCTTTTATTAAACCAATAAAAATTTTTAAATATATTTTAAAAATTAATATTTTATAGTAGACTAATAATTAGTCTAATATAATTATTATGTTTGTAATTGAAGTTTCATTATCCAATAAAAAAAAAAACCCAGAACAGTGAAGTTGCGGCATATTTGGGACAAGTATAGATGCTATCTGACAGTAATTAAAATTTCTATTATAAAGACATTTTGATATTAATTTGTTCAATTTTACAATAATTTGTATATTTGTAATTTTACAACTTTTATGTTTTTAGTTTTTTTTTTTATGTTAAATGCTTGTTAAATTAATTTCTTAATTGAAAATAAAGTAATTTTTTTTTTTAAAATCCTTAATGTAGATTTTTCATTGAGTTTTTACAAAAAGCATACTAAAAGAAAAGTTAATGTATACTTTTACTAGTAAATGTACTAGTTTAAAACACAGGAATATATGTTGAAATTGCCATTTTATACAATAGCTTAATTTTGAGATATTATTTAAAATTTTTGAGAATTTTTGAGAATTATAAGTTCAACTAGTTTAAAAAGGATTTTTTGATGCATAAACCGACAAAATCAGTCTAGTAAGAGCTAACAATTTTCACAGGTAGACATAAAAAACACACATTATGGTAAAACTAATATCTTCTTGATTTTTAATCATGCTTCATAAATTTGTTTTAAAAAGAAATTAACACAAATTATAAACTAGGTCAAAAGTCATTGAATTTGTCATATCATTATGAGCAATTTAAATCATAATTTATTATTATAAAAACATACTTTGATACCATATTGAGAAAATGCTCGCATTTTTATTGCAATAGATACATCTTCAAAAGATGAGTATATCAAGTCTTTATCACTAATAAATTTAAGATTATTTTGTCCATAAGTCCATACTATATTTGATGTAGTAGACCAATTCAATGTCATTCTTTCAAATACCCAGTAATCATTCATAATACCTTGATAAAGTTTAAATATATAATTTTATAACAATGGAAAGTTTAAATATGTTCAACATTAATGTTAATAAAATCATTACCAGTTTGGGAAATAGCCAATAATCTATTTTCATGGATTGGATGCCAAGAAAATGATGCTAAGTGAATATTTCCTTGTCCGGGATGTACAGTTCTTTCTAAAGCTGATGGTTCAGCTTCCTCCATACTTTGTTGCATGTCATGTAGACTAATAGCCATTGTATCTTTTTGTAATGATCCCAATAAATTATGTCTAAAATATTTTTGGATTATAAATAAATTGAAATAAATAAATGATAACAAGAAAATATTATAGTGAATGAACAACAAAAATGTAATGTTAAATCTTTTGGGTATCTATTAAATTTATGAAATTAACTTTTTTTCTAAAATACTCATGTAGTTTAAATGTGTTTAAAGATTTTAAAAAGATTGTATTTTAATTAGAATATTTGGATGATATTTTTTGTTTGTTGAAGATTATTTAAAAAATATTATTAATTTACAAGTGCAACAGTAAAATTAATGTTTCAAGAAATACTATTGTGTTGAAAATTTAAAGTAAAATATGACTTATAAAGTGCATATAATAACAAGTAATATTTATAATTAAACATTAGATACAATAAATAGTTTTTATATTACATTAATATATTTACCTAGTTGGACACCATTGAACTTTGATAATACTTTTGCTCTGAATAAGAGTTACAACAGGTTTTTCTAAATGTCGTGAATCCCATAGCACAATACTATTATCATTATAAGATACAATATGATTATTATTGTAAGCCGCAATATCAATACCAAACACCGCTCTAGTGTGTGCTGTATTTGTAGAACGAGATGCATCTAAAATATAAATTATAAATAATTTATATAATAAATTCCTGATATTAAACTACATTTCAAGTACTATTTCATCAGTTTACTTTTACCCAGGACAAAGATAAATGACAGATAATTTTATAAACTTCTTTCTATCTAATGAAAATAACTTTATAGTAGGTAGTAATTTCAGTTTTTAACATTTATAGAGACTTAGCTTACTAAACAATATATATTGTTTTTTTAATAATAATCTGGGGGGCATAGAAAGAACCTCCTTGTTGAATGCACACTTCAGTTTGACAACAGAACATTAAGTACATTTTTGGCGCCCCCTGGAAACAACGGTACCGACCCTAAGCATATCATTGACTAATCTTTCTAACCCTAGACCCACTATACTCTTTAATTAACAAATATGAGTCATACAAAAAGGCCCTTTTCAGGGCCAACTCTGACGATTATTTCTTGTAACATTGAAGGCATAAATTCAAACAAAGAACAACTCCTTTCAGAGTTATGTAAAGAGATTAAGTGTGACATTCTGTGCATTCAGGAAAATCATAGAAGCAAGGAGATGAATACGCCTAAGATCGAAGACATGAAACTTGTTGCTTTAAGACCACATAGGTAATATGGAAGTGCAATATTTGTAAGAAGCTCACTAATAGTAAACTCAGCCCAAATTACAAAAGAGAAAGATATTGATATATATTACTATAGAACTTGGTAACTGTACAGTAACTTCCATATACAGACCTCTAAATGCTATTTTCGAATTCAAGAAACCACTCAATTTTAAAGCTCAATCTACAATTTCATTATAGGAGACTTCAATACTCACCATACTAGTTGGGGCTATGATGTAACCGATGACAATGGCCACAAAGTGGAATTATGGGCAGAGTCAAATGGGATTAATGACATTAATCCATGACCCAAAGCTTCCACCATCTTTTATTAGTGGTAGGTGGAGAAAAGTCTATAACCCAGACATCAAAATGACACTTTGTAAATGGCATTGTACCATCATAATGCATTAAGGAAGTGTGGAGACCAATCCCACGTACTCAACATCGATCCATTGTTTGTAAGATCATGGCAATTACAAAAACCAACAAAATCCCTTATATGAGAAGATACAACTTTAAAAAAAGCCGACTGGAATAATTTCACAAAAGCTCTGGTCAGCCTGATAATTGATATAGTACCAACAAATGAGAACTAAGATAACTTCACAGACCAAGTTAAACTCGCATCAAGGCAAAATATCCCAAGAGGCTTTCACACACATTACATACCAGGTATAAAAACCGAACTAGCAGACTCCTTACATAAATACACAGAATTCTATGAGGCCAACCCGTTTGAAGAGAATACAATTGAAGCAAGTGAAGTACTAATGAAATCATTAGCACAAGAGAAGAGAACGAAGTGATGCAATCTATTAACCAGTGAAGACATGAAGTAAAACAGTAAAAAAGCCTGGAATCTCATCAAACATCTAGATTGCGACCCTAAAAATAAGCCAACTATTCCAATTGTGACTCCAAATCAAATCGCCTATAGCCTCCTAATAAATGGAAAGTGTAATAAAAATAAATACAATAAAAAATCACCTAAGCCAAGAGTAAAGCGAATAATAAACGAGGAAATCGCTGAGTTAGGAGATCCTTTTCTGTACGAAGAACTTGAAATCGCTATGAAGTTGTTAAAAAATGGAAAATCGGCTGGACTGGATAACATGTATACAGAACAAATTCAATGTTTTAGCCCTACAGCTAAGCACTGGCTATTGAAACTTATCAATAACGTTAGATCTACACTAAGACTTCCGAAAATATGGAGGAAATCCAAAGTAGTAGCATTACTTAAACCGGAAAAAGATCCCAACTCTCTATCTAGCTATCGACCAGTTTCACTCCAGTGTCATACATATAAACTTTATGAAAGAAAGTATACTTATTAACAGGTGTTTCACCTCCCAACATACGTAAACAAGTGGTAACAAACCTAAAAAAATGTAAATAAACAAATGGCAGACATGGAGAACCCTTAACAGAATAAGAGTAGGCGTAGGTAGATCAAAAAATAACATGTCGAGATGGGGTTACCTTAACGACTCTGACACAAAATGCAGATGCGCCCAAGAAAAGACAATGGCACACCTATTAGTATGTCCAAGGAACCCCAACTTATGCATGGAAGATGACCTAATGCAAGCAAATGAAAAAGCGGTGGAAGTCGCTTGTTTTTGGATAGTGGAAGGAATATAACAAATGTTTACTTTTTATATTTTATTTTATTTATGTTTATATTTTATTAGTTTTAAGTGGCCTGACACAAAAATAAAATTTTTAATTTTTTTTTCCTTGACAATTAATAATATTACTAAAACAATAATTATAAATCTATTTAAAATTGATTTAATTGAATTAAATATACAAGAATAATGGAATTAGCATTTTATATCTAACTGTATCCTTTTTTTATTAAATATTTTTTTAAATGTTTAAAAAATTCTTATATAAAAATGGGTAATACTAATGTCACTAATAATCAAATTACATTTTCATCAGTTAATTTATAGTTAAAAATGGCTGATAGAACAATATTATATAAAAAAACAGTAGCACAGTGGGGTCGAGGCACAGTGTGGACGAGGCATAGATGGGACAAGTATAGATGATATCTGACAGTGATTAAAATCACTATCATAAGAAACGCTTCGATGCAAATCTGTAGATAGTGTTTCATTTAGAGAAATTGGTGAAATATTTTAAAAGCAACATCAACTCTTATTTCTTTAATTATATCCTGATTAGTAGTTCTTTGATTTTAAAATATAATATATGAATAAATACTAATTATAGTTTTTAAATTTAGTATGAAATTGTGAGGCCAGCTATGATGTATGGTTCATAGTGTTGGGCGGTTGATAAGAAAGTAGAGCAGAGAATAAGTGTAGCAGAGATGAGAATGCTTAGTTGGATGAGTGGAGTGACTAGAGAAGATAGGATAAGGAACGAGCATATAAGAGGAAGTATAGGTGTTGCGTCAATCGTGGATAAGATGACAGAAAATAGACTTAGATTGTTTAGTCATGGTATGAGGAAAGAAGAATCGAAAGCTGTAAGAACAGTTATAGAAATGAATGTTGAAGGAAGAAGAGATAGAGGAAGACCAAAAAAGAGATGGAGGGATGCTATTGAATGCGATTTGAGGACAGCTGATGTGAGCGTAGAAGATGTGGGAGATCGTGTCAAGTGGAAGCTTAGGATAAGGGTGGCCGACCCCAAGTAGTTGGGATTAAGGCAAAGAAAAAGAAAAATATTACCAGAAATTCCGGTGGCAATTGACATAATATGATTGTTGTTTCGGAATGTACAATTTAGCGTTTAGTTGGGTTTAAATAATATAGCGTCAAATCAATTACCTACTCTATCGCTTGTATATTAATATACACTACACTTTAATGATACAATAAATAAATAAACTCACACATACACACATATGCATTTATAACATTGTGATAGGATAAGGATAACATGATAAAAAGTAACCGTAAAATGAAAAAAATTGGAAAATAAATTTTAGTACTCATATTAAATGTAATGTAACTCGAAAAATATTTGTTTAAATGAAAAAATATAAGATAATTTTTTTGTTTATAATTGTCTTTTAAACAACTTTTGTACGAAACTTTTTTTTGTAAGTTAAATATTTTTTGAGAAAATTAAAAAAGCTCATATTTTTGAACTTTTGCGAGGCTGTAAAAAAAAAGCTCAATTCCAATCTTGAGGACTATTAGTATGTCATTATACATATTTTAATTCAACTTTTAAAAAAACAAAATTTTTTCCGCAATTTTTCCTTTGTTGACAGGCCTAGATGTCAATTTTAAACTTGTAATTGAGCTAAAAGTTATGGTAATATATTCAATTTATTTTACTATAAACTTTCATAAATCTTTATCAAAAATTTTTCATCAACTTTAAAGAACCAAAAAAATAGGTTAAAATTGAAAATTTGGACTGATTATTTTTAACATATTAAAAATCAAATCAGTAATAATTTGAAAACAAATTTTTTTTTCTTTTAATTATTATTTTATATATATAATTAGTAATAATATAAAAAATTAGAAGTGATAGAAATAGTCTACTTGCAGATTTGAAAACAACGCGAAAATTTGATTTAGAAAAGTATATTTTTGCTTCTGATGAAAGTTCCTTGTAGTCCAGTGCATTTTTTTATAGTAACAAACAGTTTTTATTGAAAATTATTGTATCAAGCCCTTTAAATTTTTATACACGTAAAAGTAAAGCAAAATATAACTTCTTTATTATTTTTATAATTTCTCCGTTTAAATTACAATATTAAATATCAATTTCATACTAAATTTAATAATTATAATTAGTATATATTCATATATTATATTTTAAAATCAAAGAACTACTAATCATGATATAATTAAAGAAATAAGAGTTGATGTTACTTTTAAAATAATCCACCAATTTCCTACTTTAAAAAAAAAAAAAAATTTGATTGGGAATTTTTTCTGTTATTCGCCAAAATTACTCTTTTGTTGACTAGAATAAATCATTAATCAGAAAATTTGATGAGAATTAAAACAATGTTATTTTTAAGATTAATATGCAGTCAGAAAGTTTTTTAATTACTATTTATTGTAAATTTATCAGAAAAACTCATTATTTTTTGCATTTTTATCGTAATAGAACACTTAAATAGAAATCATAGTAATCATTTCTAAGTAATTTTTGATATTTTAAAAGATTCTACAATTGAAATAACTAGAACTGAATTAATTTTAATGATTTACTTTAACTAAAAAAAAAAAGTTATTATTTTGAATCCCTCTTGTGGGCAGGTAAAGGGTTAGATTTATAAAAAAAAAAACCAAATGATAGATAAAGACATGCATCTATATAAAAAAAAATTATACTGATTTGGTCATTTTTGATAAAGTTTAACAGTTAACAAAGTTATAAGTTTTATACACT